CTGGTAGGGGGGGCGCTGTGCGCTTCCTTCCTGCCAGTCACTCAATTCTTGTGCCTTTGGAGCCGATGCGCCCTAATCAGTGGTGTAACCTGGTTTTGTGCTGCCGTCATATTCTGGCTCCCAGCCTCACTCTGCGGCGCGCGAGGGAGCTGAGCAGACAGCTCAGGGAAGTGCTCCCTCGCCAGCCCGCCGCCAGTGCCGCCCGCCCGGCTTGTCAGTTAGCCGCAAGGCTAACAAGACATTTGCCCTGGGCATTTGAGGGCAGGTTTTTTTGCCGCCCCCTGGAAAATGCCGCCCAAGGCAAATGCCTTGTTTGCCTCGCGGCTAAAACGTCCCTGGCCCTAATGCAGCCGCATGTTCCGCCTTATGGATGCACTGGCCCTGCATGCGCTGGGCCACTGCTGACTCTCACATTATCGGTAATATCAGTATTAATATCGGCCAAAGTGATAATCGGACTATCCCTAGTGCATTACACATTTTTACAAAGGATTCGGATGACCCTTCAGAGCAAAGATTTCAAACTGAGTCCCCATGTGATGGACTGGGACATACATCATGGATGAATTTCAAAAACTTGTCGGGGGATTATTTCATACTTAGAGTCCCCTGAACCAGAGGAGACTTGTTTGACACTGATAATACAAGTTACTGGACCCTCATGATCATTACATATACTTGCTTGGGAGAAATGTAGCTGGATAGAACTTTTTAGGTCATAGGATTCCGTTGTCCTCTACTGCCTTGCAGTCACCATGTTCTACTTTCCGTCTACCTTGAGTTCTCCTGGGGCACACACAGCTGTACATGATGAGAGCATTTCAGACAGCAGCTTGACAGGACCACGACTTTCATACATTCATGATGATAATTCTACAGAATGTCTTCCTTTGGTTTCTGATGACCCATATTCTTTTCTTCCTAATCTTTAGTGTTTCTGACAAACTTATCTTTTAAACCTGATTTTTCTTAAATCTTTGTTTCTTGCTCAATTCTATACATACCCACCTTCTGCACAGACCTGGATTAAAGGGTTCATTCATGAGCTTGGAACTGAAGATCATATGATCAGGATATTATTTTAAATTGAGATTTTGTTTTTTAATCTCCACATTTTATATTGATAATATCATTTTAGGTTACTCTCCACAAATCAGATTGTCATCCTACCTATTGTGGGATTTAGAATCCTGGAAGGAAATGCCCTTCTTTGACATACTCTGTGGGTGGATCAACTTCTTTCATTCTCTGCAAGTGTGCACCAACATCAGCTATCAATATATTGTCAGATTATACAGAGAAAAAGAGTAGCCTGCTGATCAAAACACTATGAAAATTCAGATAGGAAGTGAAGTGGAGATCTTCCTATGCTTAGCACCAGGGCCGGACTGGGAGAAAAATTCGGCCCGGGCATTTTTTTAACACAGCGGCCCACTAAAAAGGGGGCGGGGCAGAGGAGGTGTGTTTTGTCATCACCAATGACAAACATGCCTCCTCTCAAAGTGAGCATGTTGGTTCAATGCTCTTCCAGGGCAGACCATGCGCAGAGCTCTGATGAAGAGCTCTAGCATGAGAAAAAAGTCCTGTATTTGTTCTGCACAGTGCAAGCAAATTTAATAACATGCTTGCACTGTGTTTCCTTGCAACTTGTCTCTGGTGTCTCTATAAATGGATACCAGGAGACAAAAGGCCAGGAAAGAGTATTGTGCATGTGTTTGGAGCCTGCTTGTGGTATTGCGTGTGTGTAGAGTGAGCTGGTCGTGGTGTGGTATTGTGTAATAAGGTCGGTTTTAGTCGTGTTGTGTTTGTGGTGTAATGTGATGCATATGTGGCTCAGGGACCCCCTTCCGCCCGGCTCTGGAAAGGGGTTAAAACTTACCTTTTTCCAGCGCCGGGCGGGGAGCTCTCCTCCTCCGATCCGCCCCGTCGGCTGAATGCGCACGCGTGGCAAGAGCTGCGCGCGCATTCAGCCGGTCGCATAGGAAAGCATTTATAATGCTTTCCTATGGACGCTTGCGTGCTCTCACTGTGATTTTCACAGTGAAAAGCACGCAAGCGCCTCTAGCGGCTGTCAATGAGACAGCTGCTAGAGGCTTTGGGGGAAGGCTTAACCCATTGATAAACATAGCAGTTTCTCTGAAACTGCTATGTTTATAAAACAATGGGCTAACCCTAGAAGGACCTGGCACCAAGACCACTTCATTAAGCTGAAGTGGTCTGGGTGGCTAGAGTGGTCCTTTAAGAGTGTAGTGTGTGTGTGTGTGTGTGTGTGTGTGTGTGTGTGTGTGTGTGTGTGTATGTATATATATATTTGGAAGTATGTGTGTGGTGCAGTGTGTTGGGGGGGTTCTGTGTGTATGTGAGGGTGCGGTGTGTGTGTGTGTGAGGGGTGCGGTGTGAGTGATGGGTGTGAGAGTGCCGTGTGTGAGGGTGCCGTGTGTGAGGGTGCCGTGTGTGAGGGTGCAGTGTGAGAGTGCTGTGTGAGAGAGTGCTCTGTGAGAGTGCTGTGAGAGAGTGCAGTGAGTGTGATGGGTGTGAGGGTGCTGTGAGAGAGTGCTGTGTGTGTGAAAGTGCTGTGTGTGTGAGAGTGCTGTGAGAGTGCTGAGAGTGTGATGGGTGTGAGAGTGTTGTGTGAGAGAGTGCTGTGTGTGATGGGTGTGAGAGTGCTGTGTGTGATGGGTGAGAGAGTGCTGTGAGAGAGTGCTGTGTGTAATGTGTGAGAGAGTGCTGTGTGTGATGGGTGAGAGTGCTGTGTGTGATGGGTGTGAGTGCTGTGTGAGAGAGTGCTGTGTGTGATGGGTGTGAGAGTGCTGTGTGTGATGGGTGAGAGAGTGCTGTGTGTAATGTGTGAGAGAGTGCTGTGTGGTGTGAGAGAGTGCTGTGTGTGATGTGAGAGTGATGTGTGTGATGGGTGAGAGTGCTGTGTGTGATGTGTGAGTGGTGTGAGAGAGTGCTGTGTGTGATGGGTGTGAGAGTGCTGTGTGTGATGGGTGAGAGAGTGCTGTGTGTGATGGGTGTGAGAGTGCTGTATAAATGTTATTGTGTGTGTGTGGGGGGGTAAATAAAAAAAATAAATAAAACAAAAAACAGTCATTATTCCCCCCCCTCCCTTCTTACCTTTAGCCTGGGAGAGGGAGGGGGGGGGGGACCGGCACGCTGGCACCTGGCAGGCGGGGTGGCGGGGTTCCCTGGTGGTCCTCGTGGGTGAGTGAACTCTCGCGAGATCCGGTCGTTGCCATGGCAACGCGCCGGATCTCGCGAGAGGAACCCGGCGGAGCTGCAAATTAGAGCTCCGCCGGGTCCTCTCTCCAGCCTGGCTGGCTGGCTCCCTCCCTCCCTCCCCGCCGGCGGCCGCATGTGGGCCGGTGAGGGAGAGCTTTGATCTCCCCACCGACCCGTCGTGGCAGACAGCGGGGCCGGCGCTGGGACAGTGCCGGCCCTGCAGGGGCCGCCCGGGGAGATCCTGTGATCTCCCCTGCCGGCCTCGGCCACCGCGGCCCACCGGGCATTTGCCCGGTGTGCCCGATGGCCAGTCCGGGCCTGCAGTTAGCACTCTGATTTATAGCATTCAGGTGCTCTTTTTTCTCTATAACAGACCTGCACAACTTGGCAGTAGGTAGGGGCCAAAATTAAAATAGACTAACACATTGACAGACATACAGATACACACACACACACACACACACACACTAACAAACAGACAGATTCACACACAGACACACACATTGACAGACATAAAAATACATAGACAAACACACTGACAGACATACAGATACACATACTGATACACACACCGAGAGATATACAGATACACACAAACACACTGACAGACATACAGATACACATACTGAGAGATATACAGATACTCACAAACACACTGACAGACATACACACAGACACACTGACAAACATACAGATACACACACACACACACAGATTGCAGACCTACAGATACACACATAGACACACACTGACAGATATACAGATACACACAGACAGTCACATTGACAGACATCAGATACACAGACAAGAACACTGACAGGCATGCAGATACACACAGACACATACTGACAGACAAACAACCAAACAGATAAACATGCACGTCAAAATATATACTTTTATAGCCACCCTCCAGTTTCCTACCTTTTGGGTACTGGAGAGTGGTTTCCCTGATGTAGAGTCTGCAGGCTAAGGATGTTGGGAGTTAGGGGCTAGCTCTTGCCACCTGTCCCCTCCCCGCCAGCCTTATTCTCTGACTCCTGTATCTACAGGCTTGGCCTCATACTAACTGCCTCCTTGCCCTCATCCATGCGCCTCAGTCCATGGGAGAAAGTGACTTGCAGATCTCACTTCCTCCCAGGCTGCCGATAAGCAAGGGGCATTGTTAAAGGGCCAAAGCACTCAACCAGGCCTCTGCTGACACTTGTCTACCAGGTGGCCCTCAACGAGCCACCCGATGGGCCTCCTTAGTGCTCCTTACTCCTGCACAAAATCGTTTGGTGGGCCGCATGTTGTGCAGGCCTTCTCTATAACATCTTATAGCATGAATTTTGGAACTTTGAGGTTGAAGTTCTGGTATGTGGAGACATTCACTGTTCTCATATGTCATTGTGTGTGTGTGTGTGTGTGTGTCTGTCTGTCTGTTTGTAAGACTTACCTGATGTTTATAGATGTGATGGATTCAATTTATTTTCAGATGAGTCAGTATGTGTCATACTTACCCTCTTTCCCAATGATGATCCCCTGTCTCACAATTCTGTATATTTCTCTTGTGTCCTATTTGATGGGTCATTCTGCACCAGGCATTAACACCCAGAAAAAAAACAGTTCAGAAGGAAGGTGGGTAAGAAGGGAGTTGAGGGGGTAAAAAGGGGGGGGGGCAGAGCGAGCACTGGAGCTGATTAGACATGCTATGAGTAAGGTTCGGATTACATCTTTCCATAATCCGGATTTTATTGAAATACCAGCCACTTAGTTTATGAAATCAAAAAATTACCTTAATGAGAAGGCATTCTAAAAAGTTGCGTGCCCCTCCAGCTGAGGGTTCCAATGATATCAAGGACTGTCTGGCCCGAGGCATAAGCAGGCAAGGTCCTAATATGGCGACTGCACCCGTGGAGGCTACTGCCACTATTCCCATAGATTGCTCTTCAGAGTCTCCAACTTATCTAGAGTAAAGTACAAAGGCTGCTGTGGTGTGGTCACCCAGCTGTCCCTTATGGGAGATAAGTTAGTCATAAGGAAAGCTGCCAGAAGCGCCCCCTCTTATAATTTTGAGCGCAACTCCTTGTCATTTTATTAGCCACCCTGAGATGGAGTGTCTCGCTGGGAAATGTCACCCCATTATTCTGAGACAAGGGAATCTCATATTGGTGGGGAAACCCTCGGTCCCAGATAGTGGAACGTGACAAAGTGGTACTGAAGATGGTCAATGCAGCAGAGCACCAGCATTTTTTAAAGAGTTGTGGCTCTCTTTGCCTCCTACCATGACATACACCAATCTGAGTTGAATGATCTGGATACCACAGCCCCAACCTTCGTGCCGACTGGCACTTAATCCATGGTTGTTGTATTATGAATGCTCTTATACAACCCAGACACTGCTATCTTTTAACTCTTAGAAAACACAACTGCCATACTTATTCCTGTAAATTACATATTGTGCAATTATTAGTTCAATGATTTCACAGATTAAAAAAAAAAAAAAAAAGAAACCAGAAAAAAACTGTTCAGCAGCAGTCTGGAGTGCAAAATATGAACCTTATCATAAAATGCCAGCAGTATCAAACCCATCAGTCACCAATCGGACCCTGTAAAGTTCTCTCTTTTCTTTATCATTCTCAACTGTAATACATTCTCTTTTTTCCTTTCAATATTTCATTATTTTCCTTTTGTTTTATATTTCTATTTCCGTTTTCCATCATAATTTTCTGCTGTTCTTAAAAGGAGCACTGGCAAACGTTGCATGACATAGTTCTGTGTTACAGTCTACTAATAATTGAATTTGCACATTATACTTACTGTAACCAGAATGACCAGTGTTGGAGGCTGTGTGGAGAACGTGGCACCTACGAACACATGTGGTGTTTTGCCCTAAAATAGCTCCTTTCTTGGAGAGGATTAGAGATCCTATTATCATGGAATGATAGAGGTCAATTCAACAGAACAAAAACTCTTTAACAAAATAACAGTAGCAGTTAGGATAGGTCTAATGTAGCAATGGTTGAAGGCCGACTTGCCCTCTGTGGAGATGGTTCGTTCATCTCAAGGTCAAAGACAATTATTTAAAGGAGAAGCATACTGCCCAAGTTAGAAATACACCAACCTTCGAAAAAACTTGCCGATCCTGGGAAGACTTTTCGAATCAGTTTTACGCCACCGGGACTTTCAGGGATCTGGGTTCTCACTTTCACCCACTTTGTTTTTTTTTTCATTTTATTTACCTCTCATATTTATTTTCCTATGCTACCCTTTATTGGTTATTCTTTAATTGGAGTATTGATATATTAATTATTCCATATGTACCATGAAAGTTGGATTGTATACAACGTTCCGATAATATATTTAATGTGTCAATGCCATGCTGGTTAACTGGCAGTACACCATTATTACATTGTTTACATTTTCTGTTTCACCTGCTTTCGAAACATAAATAAAGAATGGAAAAACCCCAACATATTTACCTAGCATCTTTCTCAATATTATTTTTGATCTGTCCCAGAATTCCTTGGTTTGGGAGCAGAAAAGGATTCAGTGGGGCACAGACACACACAGCTCAGAAATGTCATGTTTGTCTGCATTACGGAGTCCTTTTAACACTTACTTGGTTCTATTTATGGTCTCTGGAAATTTCACAGTTTGTGAACTATTTATAATTACTAAATATATATTCTGGCACCAACTCAGTTTTCAGAAACCGATGTATTCATATTACATAGATATGAACAAGGTGTCTTTCCTGTTCTAACATACACAATTGTCTCGATTTCATCTACTTCCTCTCTCATCTAATTCCAGTTTCCCAGTTCCTTCTACTCTGTTTTCCCTTGTCTTTTCCACTAAGTGTTAAGTTTTGCCTGTTATTCCCTGTCTTACAGAGAGATGCAAAGGGACAGCAACTGTTTGACCTCCTATGTCACCACCTTAATTTGCTGGAAAAAGATTACTTTGGTATCCGCTATGTGGATCCTGACAAACAGCGGGTGAGTGTAATACCAGCTAACACTTTGGCTCTGTAATTGCTTAACAATCTGTGACAACGTATGATGGCATTTGCCAGTATGTGACAGCCTGTGTCAGTTTGGGAACATATGACTAATTATTGTGCGTTGCATTTGTAAGTCTGTCTCCGATATAAAGAACAGTGAATACGTTATTCTAGGGAGATTCATGTTCAAGCTGATGAATATGCTCTGTACATTCACACGGGAGTTATCAAGTTCATGCATGAGTGTCAGACTGATTTACTAAAAACAACCAAATGTAATGTGATCGTGTAAATGGAGAGCCAAACATAACATGAAAAAATGATTTATCTACTAACATGTATTCTTCTCTCTCCATCCATCCATGCAACCATCCATGCATCCATCCAACCATCCAATACAACTAGTATCTCTCACAGCACTCCTGATTTTATAAGTAAATATCTAGGTGTCTATGCACATACAGAAAGGTTTTGTCATCCAAAGAGGTGATGGAACACTGAGCACATATTTGTATAGGTGAAGCCTTTTTGAATATGTCTTTCCAACCTCTTGATGTCTGTATTTCATCCTCCTTTGTGTTGCACCCAAACCCTCTTCCCTCACATAAGTCTTTCCTTTGTTTTTTGGTGATTCGTCTGTGGTAGTTTAGTGGAGTTACATATTTAAATAGCTGAAAGGAGACTTGCGTCTATCGAGTTCAGCCTTTCTCACATGTATTTTTGCTGTTGATCCAAAAGAAGGCAAAAACCCAGCACTTTCCAATTTTGCAACAAACAAGGAAAAAAAAAATCTTAATTACCCAGGAATAGCAGTCAGATCTCTCCTTGGATCAAGAAGTTATTACCGGACAAATTAAAAATTACATTCCTAATTATTATATTTTTGCAAGTATGTATCCAGTTGCTGCTTAAACATCTGTACAGACTCTGATAAACCTACCCCTTGGGCAGAGACGTTAACATCTGTATTGTTCTTATCCTTTCCTTTGCCATAGACTAAATCTCCTTTCCTTTGCCATAGACTAAATCTCCTTTCTTCCAGTATACATTGTCTTATTTATTAATAGATATCCAGACAATGGTTTGTATAGGCCCCAAATATATTTGTATAATATATATTTGTATGCTATCACATCCTCTCTGAGGCTACCGTTTTTTTTCTAAGCTAAACAAAATAAAATTTGTTAACCTTTCTTCATAAGGTGTAGTCTTACCATTAATTTATTTATATATATATATATATATATATATATATATATATACACAAAATTATATTTTCCATTCTGAGAATAAATTCCTATTTTTATATATGACAAAACCTTACTGGCCTTAGCAACTGCTGATTGACATTGCACGTTGTTGCCTAGTTTGTTTTCTATAACAATTTTCAAATCCTTCTCGTGTGTTATCCCTAATTCACTACTGTTTAGGGTGTAAGCTGCATGTGTATTACTTTACAAAGTTTTGTGTCATCTGCAAACACTGAAACATGACTCAATGTCTATTTCAAGATCATTTATAAATGTTAAGTCGAAGTGGTATTAGAACAGAACCCTGAGGGATATCACTTATCATTTTTAAAAAACTTTTGTCCAGTTTGAAAAGGTACCATTGATGACAAATCTCTGTTATTTATATTTAAGCCAATGGCCTACACAAGAACAAGTTTTCATCTAGACCAATTTCTTTTAGTCTGAGCACTAACCTATTGTGTGGAACTGTATCAAATGTGGCGAATTAATCTTCTTTAACAGAATGCAATTAAGTTAGTTTAACATGACCTATGTTTCATAAAACCATGCTGATTTTTGCTATGTTCGTCCCAATTAATTCCTGACAATTTCCCCTTAATAACCCTTCAAATACTTTCCCAGCCACAGAAGTTAAGCTCACATGTCTTTAATTTTCAGGCAAAGATTTTGCACCATTTTTTTGAATAAAGTAACCACATCTACTTTCCACCAATCCTCCAGTACAATTATTGAAAGAAAAGAATCCTGAAATATTAAAAACAAAGGTTCACTTATTTCCACACTTAGCTCCTTAAGTACTTGTGGGTGAATACTGTTTGGCACTGGAGCTTTGTTTACATAAGGATATGACATGATTTGATACCAGCATGATTCACACTGAGGTCCCAAAACAATGGGAATCACAGCACTCAGGTTCCGCCACACTGTAGCTGCTCACTCGCCTTTCCTGTACTCCATTCAGGAAGGATACCAAAAATCTAGAACAGGCAACTCTAGTATGGTGCAAAAGTTAGGCTAAGTTTATTAAGAGCAACACACCCCTAAAATATGACCTTTTGGCTTAGTGAGCCTTGGTCATGTATTAATAATAATGGTCTGTATACAGTCAGCAAGCTTTTATGTTATTTACAGTATGTGACAATTCACCTTACCCTAGCAAATTACTATTTCAAGGAAATTTACAACGTGCATTGCAGTTTTATTTACTTTATGTATACAGTAATTGTATAATACATTTTTTTTTTAGCAATATATACATTATCTGCAATATAGACTCTGCATTGCATCTTTAGTTCTGCACTGGAACAAACTGCAGTAGATCATTAATTATAATTTTTTTAAGTAATCCTGCAATATTCTACACTTTGAGCTTATTTCCAAACTGGTCAGTAAACTGCAGCAGTAATCTCCTAGCTGCCACAAAATACCACCTGGTTTTCAACTTTGTCACTCTCATTAGTAAAGTACTGGAAAATTCTGTGTAAGTCGTCATCATAGCAACCACAACTAGATGGTAACCAGGGGCGTATTAGCCGCGAGGAAAACAAGGCATTTGCCTTGGGCGGCATTTTTCAGGGGGCGGCAAAAAAGCCGCCCCCAAATGCCCAGGGCAAATGCCTTGTTAGCCTCGCGGCTAACAGACATGCCGGTCGGGCTGGGCGGGCGGCCGGCGAGGGAGCTCTTCCCCTGAGCTGTCCGCTCAGCTCCCTCGCGCGCCGCAGAGTGAGGCTGGGAGCCGGAATATGACGTCATCTTCTGGCTCCCAGCCTCACTCTGCTGGCGGCACGAGAGGGAGCTGAGCAGAGCGCTCAAGGGAAGAGCTCCCTTGCCGGCCGCCCGCCCGCCCGCCCAGCGCCTCCCGCCCAGCCCGCCCGGCAGCCACTGGACCCCAGGACCCCAGGGAGAGGAAGAACCCCCCCCCAGCATTCCCAAAGGTAAGGAGGCTGGGGGGTTAAATAAAAAATAAAAAAACACAAGTGAATGTGTGTGTGTGTGTGTATCTGTTAGTGTGTGTGTGTGTCTGTGTGTTAGTGTGTGTGTGTGTCTGTTAGTGTCTGTGTATGTTAGTGTTAGTGTGTGTGTGTCTGTTAGTGTGTGTGAGTCTGTTAGAGTGTGTGTATGTTAGTGTGTGTATGTTAGTGTTAGTGTGTGTCTGTCTGTTAGTGTGTGTGTGTGTTTGCCTGTTAGTGTGTGTGTGTGTGTTTGCCTGTGAGTGAGTGTGTGTCTGTTAGTGAGTGTGTGTTTCTGTTAGCTAGTGAATGCGTATCTGTCAGTGAATGTGTGTGTGTGTATTTAGAAGGCGGAGCAGGGGGGAAGGGTTGGGTGGCGGTTGCCCGGGTGGGGGTAGCACGGGGGGTGCCTGAGTTTTGTCCTGCCTAGGGCAGCACAAAACCAGGATACACCACTGATGGTAACAAAGGCTCACCTGCGTGTGTATCTCATGCAGTGATTGGCAGAGGCAGGAGATTGTGATAATGTGACAATGTGTACTGTAATGTGATTTTGTACTATGCCACGTACATACCGTTAGCTGTCTTTAATTTGTTTGCATCAGAAAAAAGGCAGGTGTTCTGTCATTTGAAGTGGTCATGGTGCCTGGAATTATGTGCAGCAGGTCTCTGCACACATTGAGTTCAACCCCTTTACTTCTGGAGGTGTAACTCCACTCCGGCAGCATCAAAAGACATTATTAGCCAGCCCAGAATAAGTCATACTGTCAATTTTGTGCAAATTTAGATGCACAGACATTATTTCATTAGCCGAGAGCAGTCAGCTGTCACTCTCAGAACCAGAGGGCAAACCATTGTAAAACAGTTTTCCCTACTACAAGGTAAAGGTGCCCGGGTACTCGTACCATCATGACCACTAAAGCTGGCTATAGTGGTTACAATGTTTGAAGTAAACCTTTAAATTATGAGGGTTAATGGCAGCCAGTATACAGTGGCGAATAGCCTATTCCATTAATAAAAGGAATGGAACATATCAGCTATGAAGAAAAATTAACAAATTTAAACCTATTTGTTTAGAAAAACACAGCCTGAGAGGGGATATGATAACATTATACAAATATATCCGGGGCCAGTACAAACCTTTATGTGGAAATCTATTCACAAACTGGACTACACATAGACATGAGGTCATGCTTTTAGACTGGAAGAAAGATTTCATCTAAGGCAAATACATTTATTTATTTTTTTTTACTATAAGAACAATAAGGATGTGGAATTCTCTGCCTGGAGAAGTGGTTTTATCAGAGTCCATACACATGCTCAAAAAGCAAGATGCACACTTGCAAAAACAGAACATTCAAGGGTATCATTTTTCAATGTCGGATAATAGCTTCTTGATCCAAGGATTAATCTGACTGCTATTCTGGGGTCAAGAAGGACTTTTTTTCCTAGTTTGTTGCAAAATTGGAAACGCTTCAGACTAGGTTTTTTTTGCCTTCTTTTGGATCAATAGCAAAAAAGACTGAGGAAGGCTGAACTTGATGGATGCAAGTCTCTTTTCAGCTATGTAACTATGTATGTAAAGTACAAACAGTGCATTGGGCACGTCACATCTCTGGCACCCAAATGGTTCATTTTCTCGCAATTTGCCAGATTTCCAGAATTATCTTCCATTCAACACTATCATAGGCATCTGATTTGTATATGATATATTACTTCAGATGTAAGATAACAGCATGAACTAAACATTTCACTACCGCTCTTTGTTGCTATAACGCTACCTCGATGGTTTGATATTTAAAATAATTTGGCCCTAGACACATTCATCGAGTCATTTAAGATAATTAATTCTACATATAAGCAGGGTGCCTCAAATATAGGATTCATTTGATTTAAGGCAATATACTAAGCAGCTGTCAATGATAGTAAGTAATTTCACTGTACAGCATCTTCACATCAAGTATCTGGCATTTAAGAATACAATGTGTCTCTGTAATGAATAGTATGGGAGTGGACTACTGGAACACTGTGTCATTGTGATAAATACCGTGGTAAGGAGCTCTTTAATATATGCTGGTGAGAGACTAAAGTGGATTTGTTTACTTTTTTTTGCCATTTTTGAAATAGCAGTTTTAATATGTATGTTTATATAATATTTTAGTAGGTCTACTTAGTAAAAACATACCAATAACCAATATATTTTGAACATTATGAATTCAATTAATTCTTTAATAAAATTCTTAAAGATGTATATGGATTCTTGGGGATTATTCACTAAATAATTAATTGAACAAAAAAGGAATTGTAAAATGTCGGCACGATTAGCTGATTTGAAACTCACAGCTTGGCTGTTTTCGTCTAAATTTTGCAATTCAGCTTTCAATTCACTACACGTTGAATAAACTCCACTGTTTCCTGGCTTATTGTAATTGTTGAGATCTAGGGTAACCAGGATGCCTGATGCCTTCTGGTGACATCATAACCCTTGAATCCTTTAGATGACAGACCTAAATGAATCCAGCACACATTGGCTTGCTGACTCTTTAACAGTATCCATTAATACACGTCTGCCACATGTCATTTACAACCCTGGCACATATCCATAGTTACAATTGTAGCTCCATCTCAATGCGTACATTGTGATGTGTTTTTTAACTACTTTTACCAGAATGACTGAGACTAAAAATAACCACTTGCTTTTCTTGCTGCTTTCATTTTATTTAATTTTAGTTCCATGATATTCATCACCACTGTACCCATTTCACGTTACTATTTTGCAGGTTTTGAATAGTGAAGAATTGTAATTAGTTACTGATAAATCTCTTATTCCATGTTATTCTGCATATGTGCCTTCTATTTATAGTAAATCATACATTTTCTGGCATTTGCTACACAATATACCAATATTTATTTTAAGATCATATCAAGTTATGCTGGAGAGTAAAACAGTGTGTCAGGCACAGTTTATTTGTGCATGTTTGAGTGTATTTTTGGTAATGCGACATTTGATTTCTAAATAAACATGACTTTATCTGATTTCCTTTTCAGCACTGGTTGGAATTTTCAAAGGGTATCGTCAAACAGATGAGAGGTATGTGAGGGTATATATGTACAGGCAGATCAGGGTGGGTGTCAAGGTGTGTAAGTAGGATGCATTAATGAGTATATTGAAGGGTGTGTGCTCTGAGATGCTCATATTAAGCACTGCATCATTAGGGGTGTCTTAGGCTGTGCACAGTTCCATTGCCTTAGTTATATCTGAACCAGTATTTAATATATAATCAGGACAGGGGCTCACATTATTTGGGGAACCGTGTATCCTGGAATATCAAGGTATGTAATTCCATAGACACCATCCTGGACGCCAATAAATTCTATCATGGTTATTCACTAAAGCCCGAATGGTCCTATACCAAATAAAACTGGCTGCATACAGGGCCGTTTGGGCTACAAAATCCTGACATTGTCCCAGAACAGGCCTGAAGATCTCAGAAGGCTGAAATCCAGACTGAATACTTTAAATCTGGGCCTGGATTAAAAAAAATATATATATATTTTAAAATACAGAACTATTTGCCCACTGGCAGCAATAGCAGCCAGTGGGCAAATGGTTAAAAACCTCAGCTGCACGAGAGTTAATTATGTGATGAAATGAATAGATAAATATAAAGCATGTGGGGGTCATTAAGACCCCTATATGAAATAATGGAGGTATTTTACCTCCTTTTACAGGTGGGACATATCTGCTTAATGCTTAAACCTAGCAACTAGCAGGCATTGATGCCCAGTCACTAGAAAAGGCCCTAACCAATGGGGGTGGAGCCAGTGAAATAAAAGTAATGGGGATGGACAGATTATGTTCACCCCTGTGTCCTCACCCATGGCAAGCAGGGGGATATATTTCATAAATATAAACAAGGGACATAACATTATCTACCCCACCTGTTCCCATGGGCATGTGGAGACTATTTTTAGATTCGGTTGGGGGCCCTTATATTAATAACCAGGGAGAGCACCTAATGCCCCCCCCAGCCCTAACTCTTGGTTGGTGGCTGGGGACCTTAATTAATTATAAAATATCTAATAGTGGTATGTCTCCTCTTCCTCTTCCCCCCACTGGATGGCTAGGGTTTCCCAATCCCACAGCAACCACTGATAAAAATAAATTACCAAATTCCGACAGCATTAAAGGACCACTATAGTGCCAGGAAAACATACTCGTTTTCCTGTCACTATAGTGCCTTGAGGGTGCCCCCACCCTCAGGGTCCCCCTCCCGCCCGGCTCTGGAAGGGGGAAAGGGGTTAAAACTTACCTTTTTCCAGCGCTGGGCGGGGAGCTCTCATCCTCCAATCCTCCTCCTCTCCTCCCCGTCGGCTGAATGCGCACGTGTGGCAAGAGCTGCGCGTGCATTCAGCCGGTCGCATAGGAAAGCATTATCAATGCTTTCCTATGGACGCTTGCGTGCTCTCACTGTGATTTTTTGGGGGAAGGCTTAACCCATTCCTAAACATAGCAGTTTCTCTGAAACTACTATGTTTATAAAAGAATGGGTTAACCCTAGAAGGACCTGGCACCCAGACCACTTTATTAAGCTGAAGTGGTCTGGGTGCCTAGAGTGGTCCTTTAACTTGAGTAAATATGAATGAGGTCAGAATTCTGCCACCTATCTTAACATTATATAGGCTAGCTACAGATCTACGGATTTTCCTCAATCTGCAACCTCTTTAGCACCTTCATCTTTCCCATCACTGAATAAGACTGATGCTAAACAGGTGGAATAATTGCTCCGGACATTGTATTTTTATTAGTTTACTTATTTATTTTTGCTCATCTACAGCTCGTCCCCCATTTATCCTGTGCTTTCGAGTTAAGTTTTATCCTCCAGACCCAGCAGCACTTAAAGAAGAAATCACAAGGTATGTTAATTCCATGGCACTAGAGAAAATACATTGTTTCATCATGTCATCCATTGTACCAGCGAGACTCATGCAAAAATGTCACGAAGAAACTTTGAATATGACATGTTGGTAAAATATTTAGGTTGGGTAGTCTAATAGACACTGTTTTTTGTCTCTGTCTATGTTATTGGTTTAGAGGAGTTATTGCTTAGTGTGCTATAGACTATAATTGTACACAATAGATTGTAGGATAGTTAATGGATAATGGTTGCCATAAACACATCCGATTTTCAGCCTACTCATTGGCAAGCACTTTTCCTTTCACTAATAATTTTTAACACATGGCATAAACATAACTAATGGGTCAAAACAAAGACTGTCGTGGTTAATCACAAGTCTGCTATTCACTATTGACCGGATTTTGCAATTCAGGCCCCGAACAGACCTGAATATGGTCAGGATTTTAGATGGACCAAATGATGTTGGATGGCTGGAATTTGGAAACTGAATGCTTAAAATCTGAACTATTTCAAATTGTTAAAAACACTAACTTAAATTATAATAGCCCTCCACCCTATGACCATTAGGATGTCCCTCATTTTCTTTTGCTAAATATCCCTTATTCTCTGGCCACCAGTAAGGACAGGGGAGTGGACAGTGATCTGTCCATCTCCATTTATTTATTATAAAAGTTTCTTATCTGATGTCCACAGGTAGGGGGCACAGATGGGGCATATGCCACCCCTATGACGTAACATCCCTGTTGGAAGGGGCCTTTCAAGTGACTAATCAGCAGTGACTGCCCAGTCGCTATTGCTAAATATGTAGTAAATATGCCCCCACCTGCTGCATGGTTTTAACCTTCATTATACTGATATGGGGTCTTATTCACACCCATAGGTTTCTTATTTATTTGTTATTTAACTATACAATGAGGCGGCATTTTCCAGGGGGCGGCAAAAAACGCCGCCCCCCAAATGCCCAAGGCAAATGCCTAGTTAGACATGCTGGGCGGCGCTGGCTGATGGTCGGGCAGCTGGCGAGGGAGCACTTTCCTCTGAGCACCCTGCTCAGCTCCCTCGCGCGCCGCAGAGTGAGACTGGGAGCCGGAATATGAAGTCATCTTCCGGCTCCCAGCCTCACTCTGCGGCGCGCGAGGGAGCTTAGCAGTCAGCTCAGAGGAATAGCTCCCTCGCCAGCCGCCCGCCCGACCATCAGCCACTGGACCAACAGGGAGAGAGGGACCCCCACCCCAGCATTCTCAAAGGTAAGGAGGTTGGGGGGTAAATAAAAAAAATAAAAAAAATGTGTTAATGTGAGTGAATGTGTGTATATGTCTGTGAGTGTGTCTGTTAAGGTGTGTGTGTTTGTTAGTGTGTGTGTGTCTAGGGCAGCACAAAACCAGGATACACCACTGGTGCCACCACAGGTTTTTATCGATTTCCCCTCTGGCTGCAAGCACTACCAACAAGCAAATAGTGCTTAGCATTATTATTCACTTGCAAAAACAACAATAATTTGCAAATGTACATCCTACTGGATGAATTTTGGCTCAGAATTTACTTAGATTTACTTACCTAAACCTGTTCCTGGCGGGCATGGCCATCTTGATCTGGCATGTCCTCTTTAGAGCTGACATCACTGCTGTAAGCATTAAGGTCTATTGAGGATTCTGCAAGACCGTTGGATCCTCCTTAGACACAGCCATTTCCCGGCAACGGTCACCGATGATGGTTGTCGGGATTGACACTTAGACTCTGCCCTGAGTCTCAGAAAGTCAGGCTTAGGAGAAATACAGAGACAGTCCATAGTTTAAGTATACAGTGTGTTTTTTTTTAGTAATCAGCTATTCATGGTTACTACCTCCAGTGCAGTCACTTGGAGTGGCTTGATCTTCTGTTGTAGTCATCAGTGGAGAAACCCAGTTACTTTGCATATTTTTTATACTATGTGTGTGTAGCAAACATACCTAAGCAATTTAACACATAAGCCAAACAATGCAGAGTTTTTGTATAAAGTTTTATTCATTAAACCAAACAGTTTTATCCCTTTAGGACCAACCACACAGATGCATGGTCACAAAACAACCCAATAAACGGTTCCATGTGCTCTGCAGGATGTATATTTTGTAACAGTATTTCACAGTGTCAACATTATAACTATTATTTTTGAATGAGGTGTCCACATTATAAATATTACGTTTGAATGCACACACACTGCTCAGAAACAATGATTTCACTAGCTCAAAAAAAGCAATTCAGTAATAATCTGTTTTAGAGCTCACGAGCCAGGAAAGCAAACTCTTAAATCATCTATTATAAAAAATATAAATTGCTGCTGCTAGACTCTCTGACCAGACAAAGTATCGATTATTAACTGATATATTGTAATAACTTCTTGTTAGGCCCTCTCAAGGACAGTATGGCTGGGACTGTAATCCATTATACAATGATTTTTATTTTTTTCCAAATGTTCCGAAAGTTAATCATTGGTAAATGATTATTAGTCATTTTGATGTCCACTTGTTATTAAATACATAACAATATTTAATAAGCTGAGTGAATCTTCCTATAGGTATCTGGTTTTCCTGCAAGTAAAGAGGGATTTGTACCATGGGCGTCTACTCTGTAAGACCTCGGATGCTGCCTTGCTCGCTGCCTATATACTGCAGGGTATGTGTCCTCTATAGCAGTGGTGGAAGCTTTTGGTCAACCAGAAATTTTTCCTTTTCCTTAAGTTATATCTTCCATCATCATCCTCAGCCATTCAGTGACTCAAATATATTTTCCACTGGATATGGCTACACCATCTTTTATCTTTTGTGTGATATTTTCACATTGCTGACCCACTTCATCACCATCTTCCAACATTTTTGTTGTGTCCTGTTTTTAAATTTCCCTGTCCACTGTGGTCACTGTCCTTTCTCCAACCTTCCTCTGTCATCAGACCTCTTCACATTGCTTTTTCTGTTTCTCACAGTCCTTTATCGCAGTGGTGTTTTTTTTACTACATTTCCAACAAAACACTGGCTGAGCATTATTGATTAGTCATCCAGCCCTTACTCTGATGCTCATCATTGTTCTCTTTTCCATTTTTTTATTTTATTCTTTGCTGTGTTTTATGGTCCATCTCCTGGTTCTCACCATTATCCTCCTTTTCACATTCTTTTTTTTTTTTTATCTCTCACCTTACCTCATGGTCCTTCTCCTGCCCCTCATAGTTGGTCTCTCCCACAGCTGAGATTGGGGATTATGATCCAGGCAAGCACCCAGAGGGCTACAGTTCAAAGTTCCAATTCCTCCCTAAGCACTCAGAGAAGCTGGAGCGCCGTATCGCTGAGATTCACCGGAATGAACTCAGGTGAAGAGGGAAGGTGGACACTTTATTACAGTCAACCTCACTGCTTCTTACAATATTTATGCAATTTAACTGAACGTCAAAATCATACATAAGTAACATTTATATTGTGTGAAATTACATATAGACCATGAAATTACACCACTACTGCAAATGCAGAATAATCAACATCAGTTGACAGCCTGCAATGGACATGCACTCAGATTTTGTACCCTGGGAAAAATGAAGAGATTGTTGATTCTGATTATTGTGACAATTGATTGATAAACCGTTTATAAGGAAGAAAAACATTAAGACCCATAGAGTTAAAGATAGAGCAAAGATTGAAAAACGGAGTCTGAAGGAGGGGACCAGAGAGAGAATTTTGCATTTATTGGGGAGAAAGATGTCTGTAAGTTATTCTGAAACTGGGCATGGAATTCACTTGTCCTGATGTCACTGGGCATGAAATTAAATAGATTCACTGGTTGGCATTGGTCTTCCTTTTTAATGCTCCAGCTTGATGAACAAGAACTTTGCTAATTCATTATCATGGACCCCACCACCAGTTTAGCCTTTATGTGTTTGACCAGGCCAACTGGGAAGTCAATGTGATATACCTCGTTTCTTGCTTCTCTGCTTGGAGATACCAAGGTCCCATGCTGGTCAATTGCCAATAGAGAATTTGTTCAGCACTCCTTCCATCAATTGATAGTCATGAGCTGCTGAATATGATATGCCTATAGGATTCCATTGAAAAATTCCCACAGAATGACTCAGATGTTTTTTACACCATCCAGTGATGGATAGCTACTAGCTTTAAGAGAGTGCATCGTCTTCCAGGGCTGGAGGATAAACTACTCTCTCCTAAGATTCCATATTTTTATCTTATTTTTATTGTTTGGGTGGATACAAAATGTGGGTTAACGTGTTTACCTGTTATCCTTGAGCTTTGCTGTGATTATGGCTGTGTGCTTTTGTAATCATTTTCTGTTTAAATGTAGAGCTATGTGTGCATTTTGTCCTCTGTTCCAACTGTCTCTTATTTCCTGCTTTATGTCAACTGTCTCCTGGTTTCACCTTTTTTATTTCTATTGACCTTTTATTAGTTTATTCCAGTTCTTTTCTCTCCCTCCTTATTATTAATTTATTTCAGCCCTTTCTTCAGCCTATTTTTGTTAATTTATTCCATCTTTTTTCCCTTGCCCATTCCCGTGTGTAGGGAGGGTGTGTGAGTCACAAACGGGTACGGTAGTGGCCAGGACTGCATTCTTGTAAAAACTAGAAATGGTTGCCAGATGGCGATTTCCAGTGATGATTCTATTAATTGATTATTTATTTATAAAATATTTTACCAGGATGGATACATTGAGATTTCTCTTGTTTTCAAGTATGTCCTGGGTCCACAAACCATTGCATTGATACAATAGGGTAAAATAAAATACAAAAACAATATTAATACACAATATATACAAAATGTAACATAGAACAGGTAGGAAATATATAATCAACCATGACAGGTGCATTCTGTTTTGAGGTATGTAGAGGGGGATCTCTTAAAGGACTTTAGGCTTGGGGAAGATTTGATTAATTTTTAATTATGATTAACTTAATAGCCTGACAGAGGTCCCAAATCATGACTGACTTGCTGATTTAGGAACATTTGGTAGTGCGTAGCTTAAAAGCTATACCAACCCTACGAATGTTCTCCATTTCTAACATGACACCCAGAATTGGAAATTGAGACTGCACACCACTTGCCAGCTACCAAATGACCTGCATGGCAATTCATGCTGGTGCATGTCAGAATTTGTAGAATGAAGCTGGGTCATTTGGGGATAGGGTGGCTGTTCTTCCATTTTCATTAACATTGACTGCTGTGGGTCCTAGTTTGCTTACATGGCTCTGTGCTTACCTACTTATGAGATCTTTTGGACACTAGGGTGATTTGTTTTTTTAAAGTTTGTAGCGGATGGCACTGGGCTGTCCTGTAAATTGCAGGATTATATGTATCTAAATAACGTGTATTCGTCTGAATCATTCGAACAACTAAGGGAATGAAACTACCGAACAGTCAGACCTCCTCTGTGTGAAGTGTGCCTTCAATTACCCATTGCAACAATGTTGCGAATGGGTAATTGACAAGCTGTGCGGTAGGTCCTTTGTTCTCGGGGTGCCCGCCATTCGGGAAACGAACACGTGGCGGCGGCCATTTTAAAACTCCTGAACAGCGGTGTTTTGCCGTCGAGTGTCTGGAACCCAAATCGGACACTCGACTAGGCAAACACCACTGAGACCTCCATACGCACGATACGTTTGCTTCCAAACTACCGAACGGCCCCTCGTTCGGTAGAAAGAAACCACCGAACGAGGGGATTCATGCGAACCCTACCTGATCTCTGTAGCCTTAGCCTTTTGTGCAATTTGTTCCCTTAGACTGTGACCGACCGCAGGGCCCCATCACATGGAACCCAATTCGGCGGTTCTCTCCAGCGCGGTTGGTCTTTTTCTTACCTCCACGAATTTCCCGAACCCCTGGTCCGATCTGGGTGATTTTTGGATATGTTGCTCACCCAGTTTTGGGCTACCAGTGGATGTGCCATTTAAAGGGGTACCCCTAGGTTTAGGGGTACATCCAGAAACTGGGGGAATTTGTGTACAGTATAAGGGGATTATGAGTCAGGCTGAGGGGAGGAGATGTGTGGGAGGTTACTAGAACAGGATTGGATACTGTATTAATTAATGAAAATCCCTCCCTTGCATGGGAGCATGCTTTATAAGGCCACTGTGAAAACAAAGGTTTAGTTCTGCTCCTGATGCTGTGTGTCGTCCAGTTATTGGGATTGCTGTTGGGATATTGCTATATTGTTTTACCTGCTGGAAACCTTGCTTTATGGATTTATAATTACTTGTTCCTGAGCCTCACTGGGTTCCTGAGCGGAGATATCCTGTGGAATACTAGATCTCCACTACAAAGTTGTAATATACATGTTGCCCAACCATCATTGGTTGTTGTAGAGAGTACTACTCAGATCACCATTGGGCAGGCTTTGGTCCAAGATCATAGAATTTCATTATTTCTTATAGCATATTTTTGTGCATTCATTCAGCGGTGAATGAATCATAGGTGCAAAACAGCTGTGAAATGTTAAGAGCAAATAACATGGCTTTATGATACAGCCTTTGTCTACAATACTTAGAAACCAGCTTGAAAATATCTGGCAGATATGAGTAAATGTCTTTGAAAAAAATTAAAACTAAGAAGGAAAACGTACACAATGCTAGATGCACCCAAAAACCCCCCACCTGGTTGACATTGTAAAATCATAAATACCAGACGTCATCACTCATACAATAAATAACTGGGCGTATACCTAAATGAAATGAAAGCAAGTAATCACTAGGTGGCGCTCTCAGTAATGACTTCCACAGTACCATGGTGATAAATCTCCTTTATATTGTGACCTTCCCCTTAACATTCTGAGAAGTTAAATGCAGGATGAAAATGATGAACCAGTAAATGCACATTAAACCCAATTTTTCACTTAGGCCTTAATTTAATATTTTAGGATATGTTTTTCCTATAATTTAAAGTTAATATTTAATATTTTTGGATAAACTTTTAAAATATTTTTTTTCAAAACATTAAAATATTCAAAAAGACCAGTGGAGACTGGGCAGACATTGGCGCAGAACGAGCGGGAGGCGAGATTCCAGACCCCACAGAGGTGTGAAGTGAGGAGTGCAGACTGTCCACCACTCCTAGGCATACCAGCAACTATGATACGGGGCCTGGAGGCTTGCGCCAGTTTGCGGAACTGTGTCATGCCTCTGCAGGGCATAGGTTGATAAGAGATCTGAGTCCCAAAATGCGACCCACCTCACAGTTTGTCTGAATTCTTGTAGTGTCCCCTTTCATTTCCTAATGCTAACCACTGTTATTATGCATGCCACCATTCCTTGTCCATGCAGACCCTGGAGGAAAATAGAATCTCCACAAGCTGCCTGGGGTGGACCACTTCCATGTCTGTCTATTATCAACCTATAGTTTTTTTTAAAATGCATTGTCAGTTAATGTTGCTTATCCACTGCTGTCTATTGACTCCCTACTGACATACCTGCTATCTTATCTTTTCTCTGACTAGACTGACTTTTTTATTTCTTTAAAAATTGTTACTTCATACCATGTCAACGTTTTACCTATCATTTTGAATTGCTTGCTCATACTGTTTTGGTAATGCAAGCCTGTTCTGTAATCGTAAGCACAGCAAAAATAAAGAATTAAAATAAATAAATAATTAATAAAAAAAAATAAAAAAAAATATATATATATATGATATAAAAAAATATGAATTTAACATTTGTTTTAAATATAACAATATTAAAATAGTTTTCAAAATATTAAATTATTTTAAAAGTTTATTCAAAATATTAAATTATTTGAAAAGCTTTTCCTAACAAATTCGGGGCCTTAGCCAAAAATACAAATGCAGTCACAGGGAAATGGCATACCAACGCTCAGCCTGGTTACATAACTCAGTTCTAAGTGCTCCCGCTGCAATATCACTAGAATATGTTCAAACATCAGGGTCACATGTTACATTCCGGGCGAATTCACAGCAGCTTTTCGTCCTTCCAATAAAATGAGTGTCGTTAATCTGCATAATAATATATTGGCAAATTATAAACAATCTCAATGTATCCTTTCTAGTTAAATGAGGATTATATTGTAAATGTATATATATATTTTTTGCACAGATAAAATCAACCTTTCAGGTTACGTAGGTATATGTACCCGTATGTATTTCATCCTGTCTTTATGCTTTTTCCTTGTTTCTATAGTGGACTTAATCCAGCAGCTGCCGAGCTATGTTTTCTGAGAAAAGCTCAAACCCTGGAAACATACGGCGTGGATCCTCATCCGTGTAAGGTATCTCATTCTAAGTGTATAATACCTTTCATTCCATTCGTTATTCTTTTCAGGAATTATCGTCTACCTTTTGTTAGTTTGACATTGTACATACCAGATCTAAATTGAACGCTCCACTAGGCAGATAACCTACTGATCCCACACACCCTAACAAATTACATTGTAAAGTCTCTGTTAGTGGGCAATAGATAGAAATGGCTGGGGCAAGCACCAGCATGGATAGAATGTGGGCAGAATTGGGTAATAGGTGGAGCCATCAATAAGCCACACAACTTACTTAATGCCACCCGTAAAGTTGGTTCTTTAATGTCTGTATGTCTCCTCAATCTTCCATTTTGTGTCTCTGTCTCTCCCATGCCTTTATCTACCTACATTACTCCTCTGATTTCTGTTGATTTTGTTTCAGGATGTTTCTGGAAATTCTGCGTTTTTGGCCTTTACCCCATTTGGTTTTATCGTATTGCAGGGGAATAAGAGAGTCCATTTTATAAAATGGTGAGAATGATATTACATTTACATTCTATATTTCCATATCTTTCTCGATGTAAGTTCACTTTCTGTTTCTGTTCTATGTCCATTTCCCATGGTTTCTAACCCCTAAACTCTGTATGAACAAGGGCCTACAATGCTGCCTGCATCCATATGTAATGGCCTCTAAACAGTTCTCCACTGCTTTCATTTATTTGTTACTAACGGCTGCAGCGGCCATTTTTATTCCCCTGTTTCTCTCTATTATTGATCATGATATCGATCGTGACTTTTTACTGTTTCTGATCCTAACATTTCTTTTCCTTGTCTTCACATACATGAACACCCAACTTCAGATTATCAAGTGAAATAAGCAATAAAATTTAGAAAAACAAGACATTGCAATGGAGCACTACAGGCCCCATAACAACTTAATTTTCATTGGGCTCCATCATACCTTTCCTACGCCACCATTGCTTGTCATTTTCATTTGCCTTTAACTTGATGATTTCAGTAATTATTTCTGTTCTGCTATAACAGCTGAAAGTAGAAGCCATTTGATACCCTACTAATAGTTAGATAGATTTATAAATAACTATGTAGACTATATCAATCTATTTGCAGAGGAAGAGAGCTTGAACTCTAAAATAAGCATGTAAGCTAAGCGTTCCAGATGGCGAATATTTATCAATGGCAAGAAAAGTCTGGGCTTTGTCCTATGGATGGTATTACTCTGTCATCTAGTGCAATTTGTCATATGAAGAATCTAGTGGTAGGATAGATAATTGAGGTCTGGGTTGTGTTGGAGAACTCACTAGGGTATCACGGCCTACAGCAAAGCTCAAAATAATTTCACTTTGAGTATAAAGTCTTAATAGTACTTGGAAATCCAGAGTCAGATGCTGGCTGCAGACTGTCAATAACTGTAAACAGGCTGCAGTCACTAGCAGTATACAGAATCAGCATTGTTATTGCAGGCACGGAATCATATTCATAGTCAAAGCAGAATAGGCAGATTAAAGGGAACTCCAATCATTTTTAATTAAAATTATTTTTTTATTTAGACTGCTCTGTTGGGCATTGGTAATGAGGTCCCTTTCCCCTAATGTTTGAGAAAACCCTGTAAAATAAGCATAAACATATATGAAGCTCTCCTCACCCGTCAGATGTCATCGTTCTCTCACAAACGGTCAGATCACATGCTTCTCATAGAGCGCACACTTTGAGCTGGGGACAAAACTTAAAATATTACTTTGATTTCCAATTATTTGGGGCAGATCATGAATTATTATATTAAAGCCAAAGGGGTTTTGGAGATAGCATAAAAAATCCACTCAGACCGAAAGGATCTGCAGAACCTTGAGATACCATGATATTCCCATCAAGTGAGAAGAAGTCACCAGCAGAGAGAAGACAAGGAGGGGCAGTAAAAATAAATATCAAGGGTATCTATCTACTGCTCCTCCTTTTTCCTTTTTTTTTTTTTTGGTCACTTCTCATTTGATCTGTGAATAAAATCAACATTTAGTGGCTGTTCCCTAAACATCAATTACCGTATTTTTCGCTCCATAAGACGCACTTTTTTCCCCCTCAAAAGTGAGGGGAAATGTCTGTGCGTCTTATGGAGCGAATGTGAAGATTTACTTACCTGTCTTGGAGCGTGGGCCGGCTTCACAGCACGCTCCGCAGTCCAGGAACTTCTATTTCAGGTTCCGGTTTCCGGCGGGACTGAAAGGAAGTGCACACTCAGTGTGCACACTTCCTTTCAGTCCCGCCGGAAACCGGAACCTGAAATAGAAGTTCCTGCACCGAGGAGCACGCTGTGAAGCCGGCCCACGCTCCAAGACAGGTAAGTAATTATGGGACAAGGGGAGGGGGACACTATGGGAGAAAGGGAGGGGAGACACTATGGGAGAAAGGGAGGGGAGACACTATGGGAGAAAGGGAGGGGAGACACTATGGGAGAAGGGGAGGGGGGACACTATGGGAGAAAGGGAGGGGAGACACTATGGGACAAGGGGAGGGGGGGACACTATGGGACAAGGGGAGGGGGGACACTATGGGACAAGGGGAGGGGGAGACACTATGGGACAAGGGCAGGGGGGGACACTATGGGAGGGAAGGTGCACTATGGGACAATGGGAGGGGGGACACTATGGGATCAGAACACTAATGGACAAGGGGAGGAGGGGTTAAAGAACACTATGGGACAGGGTAGGAGGGGTTAACAATCACTATGGGACAGGGGAATAGGGGTTAACAATCACTATGGGACAGGGGAGTAGGGGTTAACAATCACTATGGGACAGGGGAGGAGGGGTTAACAGTCACTATGGGACAGGGGAGTAGGGGTTAACAATCACTATGGGACAGGGGAGGAGGGGTTAACAGTCAATATGGGACAGGGGAGGAGGGGTTAACAGTCACTATGGGACAGGGGAGGAGAGGGGTTAAAGATCATTATGGGACAGGGGAGAAAAAAAAATATTCTGAACAAACTGTCCCATAGTAAACACTATGGAACAGTTTGTTCAGAATATTTTTTTTTCTGGGTTTCCTCCTCTAAAAACTAGGTGCGTCTTATGGTGAGGTGCGTCTTATGGAGCGAAAAATACGGTATATTTTTTTCCCATTAATCATCTCTTTTTCTGGTGCCATGGGCAGAACTTAGAATTATGAAACAAACAAAACTGTTCATCCATTGTCTGTGTCATTTTTTTTTTTTTTCGTAATACGTGATACTGAATTTGGAATATGCAGAGATCGCCCAAAATTCAGACAAATTGCAGCCCAGTCTTAATTTCTTTTTAAAATGGTTATTATTAGGCCTACGTTTAGATTTAGGAATAGGGTAACATGTTCTGATTTATATTTCAAAAAGCACGGAGTATGAAAAATTGAGCTTACAATAGTCGTAGAACCAGTTTCTGCATCTACTGTAGGCCATTCTCTTTTTGTCCAACACAGACTGGACATTGTCCAATCAAAGGCTTCGTGTTGAGAAGCATTGAAGGCAAGTAATGCATGTGCGCAATTGGCCTTTCATGCACTTCTGTATTATACATTCATTGAAGTATATGAATGGCAAGCACCAAGACCAACACAGCTTCTCTACTAGGGTTTGAACTATCTCTCTCATCTGTCTGATCGACAGAGAATATTTTGTGACAGTTGGTTTTATATACATTTGCTGATTTCTCTTGAAATCATCACTTTTATAAAATAAGAATGCAGAGACAAGTACTTTAACCCTAAAGCACTCCAGCAAGCTGAGGTTCTTTAGGTGATTGGAGTGTTACTTAAAGGGAAAGTAAATATTTTTTTATCAACCTGTTGTGCTTTCTAACAAGGACACTTTTGTATTTTTGTTTATTTGATTCTGTAAAGATATGTAAAAGCACATTAACATGTCGCTATAATCTAATGTTAAAATAATGGCTTTAATATTTTTAGATAAGCTTTTCAAATTGTTTAATATTTTTGGATACATTTAAATAATCAATGTGTTGCAAAAAGATTTTTTTTTTGTAAATATAGTTGGAATAGATTGAGAAAGAGCCACGCAGGGCCCCGCAGCATATAGTCAATAGTGGTAACACATTTTGTAAGGTGTACATTTGCATACATTACGGTTTCAGCCATATTCAAGGTAGCTGTCGTTGTGGGTTTACCATAACTGCTGGGGTTGCGCTTGCGTTGCAACCATGATGGAGCATTGGTAGTCCGTAGTGGGCGCAGCTCAGTGTTGTAGGCCTTATCTGCTACCTTATCTACTACCTGAACCCCCTTTTTCAATTTTATTTATTTAATTTGTAGGCTAGTCTCTTTTCCCTTTGTATTTATGTCGTGTCATAGACATGCCTTCCTTATCAGAGGTGATCTACCCACTATCCCACCCATATGACCATTGCGTTTCAGCCCGTAGTTCCCTAGTGTCCATGGGCTACATTCTGGCCACTGCAGGTGTAATTTTGCCCTGATTGTTATCCGTCCCTAGTTAACAATGTGTCTTGTATAGTTAGTAGGTGTAAGAAGTATGAGTAAAGATAGAGTTTGGAGTAGTAAAGATTAGAAGGAATGGTTATTACAGTGATTTTCCCCTCCACCCCAGCTAGTTTACTGTGGTATCACCCATCGCTGCAGCTCGCCTCGCCGTATACACTATCCAAGGCTGCCACCTCTCTACATGTTTTGTACTGAGTCCTATCAAGGAGGAATGTATCTCCTCAGCAGACCTGATCTCCTCTACCCTTTCCTGTCATTGTTACAGTGTGGGAGCATGGGTCTGTTTCCGGGGGGCAGGTATCAGTGCCTTGGCTGCGTTGAGGAGGTGTCTCAGAATAGATTTTTTATAGATCGTTATCGGGCCAGGTGTAGAGTGCAGCAGGGCTAACTCTGGAGTTAATGGTGTTGTTTCTCCCAGGATTTCCACTACCTTGGTGTTGATCATTTTCCAGAATGGTCGAATGTTGGGCAGTCCCATCATATGTGCTTCATTGTCCCTTTTCTGGTCTCTCATCTCCAGCATGTCGCCAGTGTGTGTGGGTAAATTTTATGTAAAAGTTCAGAGGTTCTGTACCATGACGAGAGAAGTTTGTAGTTAACTTCCTGGTAGTGCGAGCTTATGGAGGATTTGTGATGGATGATTAGGATCTTCTCCCATTGCGCGTCAGTGAAGGTCGTCTCTAGTAAACGTTCTCAGTGACTCTTATAAGTGTGTATTTTGGTTCTTCCTCCCACGAGCAGGTATTGATATAAGAGGGATATTGTCTGTTAGTGTTTGTTTTTCCAGTACATAGCTCCTCGTACCAGGTGAGGTATCTGTGGACGTCGGTCCTGTCAGGCAATGTATTATAGTAGTGCTGCAGTTGGGAATATCAGAATACATGTGTGTCTGCGTAGTTCCCTCAGTGAGTTGTGTAGGGTTTTCAGTCCAGTCATATCGAGTGCCCTTCGGAGTGGAATAGGTTCATCTCCTCCCAGAAAGTCCCAGGCCCTCAGGGCAGTCCCCCTCCCTAGAGTTCATTGTACGTCAATGAGATCATCGATCCATTGTTTGTGCCGTGGGTTGGTGTGCCACTCTACGGTTCTCTGTAGGAACTTCGCCTGGTGATACTTTCGGAGGGCCGGTAGTGCCAGTCCCCTTAGTGTCTTGGCAGGCAGAGAAGTTCATGTCTCAGTCTAGGTCTACTTCCTCTCCAGACATATTTCAGAATTGCAGTTCTCAACGATGCGAAAAATGCCGTGGGTAATGCCAGTGGAATGTCTTGGAACAGGTATAACAGCCTCGGCAGGATGTTCATCTTGAGCACAGCCTTGCGGCCCAGCCATGAGATGTGTGGATAATTCCAGTTCTATAGATCTCGTTGTATTCGAGTGAGGAGTGGTAGGTAGTTCGCCTGGTACAAATTGGCTGGGTCCCTTGTCACCCATATTCCCAGGTATTTCATTTGTGATGTACACCATCGAAAGGGGAAATTTGAGGTCAGAGTTTCGTTGTCTCCGGTCGATTCTGACACATTGAAAATCTCGCACTTCGTTAAGTTTAGCTTGAGTCCGGTGAGTTGGCCATAATCATTGAACTCCCTCATGAGACAGGGTAGTGTAATCGTGGGTTGCGTGACGAAAAAGAGCATATTGTCAGCGTATGCTGCCACCTTCTGCATGTTCCTCACCCACTGGAAGCCCGCGATGTCCTTGTTACGTCTGATCACCTCTAATAATGGAAAAGTAGAGACGCAGGGGGCATCCCTGCCTTGTTTAATTTCGAATCGGGAGAGGGTCTGTCAGTGCCCTATTCACCCGGACTTGAGCGTTTGGGTTGCTATATAAGGCGCTGATCCACGTTGTCATGGCTTCTCTGAATCCCAGGTGCTTCAATAGCGCCATTAAATACGTCCAATCCACCCGATAAAATGCTTTTTCAGCATCCATCGATAGAAGGAGAAGTGAGGTCTTGTCCCTCCGTGCCAGATGTTGTATCGACAGAACCCTAAGGGTGCTATCTCTTGCTTCCCTATTCGGTATGAATCCGGTTTGATCCGGGTGGACCAGCTCTGGCAGCAGCGGGCCTATGCTAGTAGCCAGGACTTTGGTGAACAGTTTTTCGTCTATGTTCAGGAGTGAGATCGGCCTATAGCTACTGTAGACCTCCGGGTCTCTACCTGGCTTAGGCAAATGTATTTTTTATTTATATACAAACAAATATAAATATTATATATATTTTATATATTTTTATATTTTCATATTTTGGAAAACATTTTCTTTTTTAAAGTTTATCCAAAAATATTTAAATATTTAAATAATTTGAAACATTTATCCAACAGTATTAAACTGAGTACAATATAGTTTAAGTTGTGTTGATTCTACATGCTGTCTCTCCCCATCATCCAAGTATTCTTTCCGTCAATATCCCAACGACGTATAGTACTATACTGTGCACGGTAGTGTTCAGCTGACAATATCAAACCCATAAAAGTCACATAGTCTGTTTGAAATTATATTATTAGTCATTCTTCCAGTATATCAGTATAATTGCTAAATTCTACAGATATACCAACTTTCTGTAGCTCACCAGCCAGATATACTCTCTTGGACATGTAGAACATCGCCCATTTAGTTTTCTCCACAAACACATCAATAATGTTGGCTGTTGGACTTTACAAAGTTCCTAGGTTAGCATCAGAACATTCTATGGAAAACCCTTAACTGACATCATGAATTATTGACCTTTAAAGGTTGGTGGATATTCAGATTTGACCTATGATCAGTTTTGTGGATAATTCACTCTTATTAATATTAAAAATGAACCTCTTGAAATGCTAATTATACTGCGAGATCTCTTTGAACAATAAAGGTAAAGTATCAGCTGAACCAAAGTGTTTTGAACTGTCAAAATGAATTTCGTGGCTGAATGTTTTATCCTTTAGTGAGCCTATTCCGGTGCCTGTCTCCTTGCTATTAATGTATTCATGGTTGGGTTTTTTCCCCCCCCAGGAGTGATGCTGCTAAAATGAAATTTGAAGGAAAGACGTTTCATTTGTATGTGAGAGAGAAAGAGGTAATATTGCAATCGATATATAAATAATTGTTTTATTTATTATTATTTTGTTTAATAGACATTTTATTAAAAGGTCTGATTTACAGACATAAAAGTAGAGAAACCACATCAGTCAAAAGGCTGGCAGGGTGCTAAAAAAAATAAGCGTTAGAGTTGTTCCAAAGGGTATCAGGCCTTTACAATCGAGAATAATTAACGTAGGATTAAATAAATGCTGGAATATCTAAACTATAGGCTTCAGGCGAGTTCACATCAAATAATTTAGAATAAACAGAAGTAAATATATCAATAGATACTTGTAAAACATATACATGAAATGTATAGTTGCCACAAAAAGGCTATTTGAGTAATAATCAATCAGCAATATATAATATTGCAAGGCGCATAATAGTGACAGCCTTTGTACAGTTATACGGTGTACTTTACCGTGTTTCCCCGAAAATAAGACCTACCCCGAAAATAAGCCCTAGCTGGATTATCGGGATGGGCTGCAATATAAGCCCTACCCCGAAAATAAGACCTAGGCAGGGCCGGCAGCTGCCGGCCCTTTAAATGCCTCAGCCGCCTGAGCGCTCTATAGAGAGTGCTCAGACGGCTGCCGCACTGCCTCACCTCCCCTCCCCTGTAGCGTGGCTGAGCTCCTTTCCGGTCCGCAACCCGCCCGGACTGACAGGAAGCGCGCACTGGGTGCGCACTTCCTGTCAGTACGGCCGGGTCGCGGACCGGATAGGAGCTCGGCCACGCTACAGGGGAGGGAGGGGGGAGAGTATTACAGGGAGGGAGGGGGGAGAGTATTACAGGGAGGGAGGGAGGGAGAGTATTACAGGGGAAACAGGGAGGGAGGGGAGGATATTACAGGGAGGGAGGGAGGAAGGGGGGATAATATTACAGGGAGGGAGGGGGGAGAGTATTACAGGGAGGGAGGGAGGGTCTCTGGGGGGGTTACACAGCGCGGACACCGGCTGACAGACTGGCTCTAAGCCCTACCCTGAAAATAAGCCCTAGTGTGTTTTTTGTGACTAAAATTAATATAAGACCCGGTCTTATTTTCGGAGAAACACGGTAATAGGAGGTGCTCTCATTTAGAACCCTTATGAGCATAGAAGACATTGGTCATTCAATAACATGTCATTCACTTATTATCTATACACTTTTTCTTTGAGAATTAGTTTTTATTAATTTTTTTCTTATTGTGTATTTCTTTGAAATATTCTTTGTTGCTGTAATAAAGATTTATTATTTTCTCTTAACCTTACCTATGGACCCCGACAGCCTTTTGACTGACGTGGCTTCTTCGCTTCTATCTCTATGGTTCTGCATTCAGAGTTACCCCCGTTCAGGGTTAAGGTTTTCATTACCTTTATTTTGCACTTTTGTGCCGGTATTTTCTATTTCATTGTTACTGATCTGTTCTTGGCTTTATTGGATCTGTTGCAGCCAATATTTTAACGAGAGGTTAGTTATGATTCTTTTTGTAAGAGAGATTAGATGAATTGTGACATGAGAGAGCTATTCATGGGATAGGATTAATCTGTACCCGCAGTGCAATTGAAGCTATCTGGAGCACTTGTGTTGTCAAGCAGCAGACAGCAGCAGATGTATATCAAAACCATAGAGGAGCTAGGAGCGACAGAATTTAAAGGGGAACTGTCACTTTTCTGGGAAAAAACATTGAAAATCTCCTATAACTGGTGTTAACCTTTTTTCATGAGATACTGTTTTGCTTCAAATTTACATTAAAGACAAATTACATCATAACGCATTTCAGACAAAGCAAAGTCAGTACAAACATTAAACACGAGGAACAGAAATAGAAACATTATTTAATTTAGTCCTTCTCCGTTTGCTTTCTCTATGCTGACAACCAGGTGCAAAAAAAATATATAAAATAGAGTTAACACAAACACTTTACAATACAAATATGGAAATTAGTGTGTGGATGTAAGTGAATATTTGTTTGGACTGTTAGATGTGAATGCAGGGGTATATATTTGTGAAAAGGCGGTGTGTTTCTGTGGTGTGCTTGTTTTTAAATACAGTGCTGAAGTAGTATTACGGGTTAGCATATGTGCATGCAAATGTTTGTACATTGTGTTTGCTTATCCCCTTCTCCCTACTAATCTAGTTGTCCAGATATGCTCATTTCTATATGATTCCATCCAACAATAGTCCTTTATCTCTCCCTGATTTTTGTTTATCTCCACATATGCCAAATTCCTCAGATGTCTCCCTTTGCCTATACTCCATCATCCTCCCTTTATCTCCCTCTGCCCATATTCCTACTTCCCCTACTTGTGTCCCTCTGCCCATACTCCCTTTCTTTACTTGCGTCACTGTGTCCATAGTCCCTTAATTTAACTTTTGTCCCCTTCTGCTTATTGTTATTATTGCCATTTATATAGCGCTAGATTCCGTAGCGCTTTACAATATTATGAGAGGGGGGGATTTAACTAGAAATAGGACAATTACAAGAAAACTTACAGGAACGATAGGTTGAAGAGGACTCTGCTCAAACAAGCTTACAGTCTATAGGAGGTGGGGTATAAAACACAATAGGACAAGAGATAGCAATCAAATAAGGTGGGAGTGAAGTAGAGCTGGAGGAGAGAGTAGAGTGCTGCCATTTAGGAGAGAGCAGGAGACAGGTATGTAAGGTAGAGGTAACTCTGGGAGACCATAAGCTTTCCTAAAGAGATGGGTTTTAAGGCACTTCTTAAACGATTGAAGACTAGGGGAGAGTCTGATGGCGGTAGGCAGGCTATTCCATAGGAAGGGAGCCCGCGAGAAGTCCTGCTTATACTTCTTTCCCCTATTTGTGTCTCTTGTCCATGCAACTCCTCTGTCCCTGGCCTGTCCTCTGTTACCTTTATCTACCTGAGTCTCTCTGTCAATACTCCCCCTTCCTCCACTTGTGTCCCTCTGTCCATAGCTTGTTCCCTCACATGTGTCCTTCTTATGCCAGTTCCCCTATTGGTGTCTCTCTTTCTATTCCTCTCTTTGTCTCTCTCTCCATACCGCTTTCCTCTGCATGTGTCCTTCTCCCTGCTTGTTTCTGATTATCCATAACACTGTCCTTTCCCCTCTTGGTCTCTCTACTTATTGTCCCCTTTCCCCACTTCTGTTACTTCCTCCCTTATAATCAGAAGCATGAGAGTGCGCACACTCTGTCAGAACTCTATTCCTCTCTGTGTCTCTCTCTCCATACCGCCTTCCTCTGCATGTGTCTTTCTTCCCGCTTGTTTCTGTTTATCCATACCACTGTCCTTTCCCCTCTTGGTATCTCTACTTATTGTCCCCTTTCCCCACTTCTGTTACTTCCTCCCTTATAATCAGACTCATGGGAGTGCGCACACTCTGTCAGAACTCTGTGAAGAGTTAGGTACTTTGTGCAGAGGGCAAAAATATGTCATATGCCTGATGTCTCTATTGGCATTTACAGCCCAGAATCTAACTGCCTGCTTCCAGAACTCTAACTCCATTGTGGTCCAGCTTGCCACATGACACCACTATAATAATAAACTAAATTAGCCTCTGTCAGCCTCAAACTAAAGAAATTTACATACACATATTCAACATTGTTATCTATCTAACCTGGTCCTGGTGCTTGCCCCTGGATCCAAGCCTGATTCAAAGATGCTTTAGGTGGCACTAAGTCTCTGCCCAGTATATAGCCATCAATATATGTCAGATAACTGACCATTGCAGCACTGATTTTAACACACATTGATTATTTTAGTGGAGCAGAGGCAGGCACTGAATATTTACATACCCATGAACACTTCTCATTCAGGGAGACACACGTTTACTTGCATTAGTTCATGTTGCTGCTTTCTGATTGAACTCTTCATAATATGATGTGTTTGTGTATATTTTTCTTTCAAGGTTGCTATTCGTGTATACACAGTAGGGTATGGACGCACAGCTCTAACACTTCTGTACTCATTATTGTGCTTGAATGAGCTAAACTGGTGCCAACTTTCACAGCATCATGCTATGGCATTCTCTTCCAAATGTTGCTGTATTTTGTTTTCTATTATCTGGCTTGGTTAAATACCTGGTATTCCTGACTCCGATCTTCTTTATATGTGATCCATACTTTTACAGTCCCACACTTGGCATGCCCCTGTTTTATCTAGTATAACATGCGCCCACGGTTTTTACAACTTAACTTCTCCTTAGAGTTTTCCATTGTTAAGATTATTAGCCATCTCTAAGAAGTGGTATTACAGTAATCTTTAGCAGTTTTCTCTGAGGTATCTCATAGGCTATTATCTTCTACACTGCCTCTATCTAGGTAGTCACTTACAGGGAACCAACTATCCTTTTAAAAAATCATAACTTGCCAATATTATATTTTAATGAACTGGATATATGGGTACTGTTTTCTAAATGTAATGATAATCACCTAAAATGTTTGTAAACCTTTTAAATGACTAAAAGTGTGTCCAGGATCCAGGAGTGTACATCTTGCAGATTCGACAAATACCAAACCCAGGACATACTTCCTGGTAAAATATTTTATAAATAAATAATGAGGATCCTAGAAATATATTGAAAGATTTAGCTATTTGTGATCAGGACAAGCTAATTAGATGTCACTTGGAGGAGACATTATGACTAGAAATGGCCACAACTAAAATAAAGTGTCTAGAGATTAAATATATGTAAAATCAGTTGTGTCCCATGTATGTACATCTCTATACCATTGTCTCTGCAGGAGAAGAGGTTGGTACTTACGTTCCTTGCGCCAACTCCAGAGGCATGCAAACACTTGTGGAAATGTGGAGTGGAGAATCAGTCCTTCTACAAGTCAGTACTGCACAAAGTCAAATCCTTGCACTATGTTTCTATCCTCTCTTCAAAGAGCAAACCCTTTTTGTTACATATATTTTTTTCAGATTAGAGAATTCCAATCAGGTCCGCACAGTCTCCAGCAGCAATTTATTTTTCAAAGGCAGCCGTTTCAGATATAGGTAAAGTACAGAATTTGCCGCCTGTGCCTGTTACATACTTCCAACACAAACATTTCTCCATTTTTTCTCACCCATCTCACTTCGAGCTATGCCCCAGCTATCTAATCCACCTTTTGTGCTCTTAAACACTTCCAGTTCCTGTCACACTGATAAACATATTATCATAATTACCTGCAACATCCTCTATCCATCTCTACCTCGCATTACCCCTTCCCTCCAACTCCATGCTTCTCATCCATCTCCACACTACACTTCATTCATCTTTATTCATCAGAGTCCTCCAACCATTTAAATTCTCCTTTTCCCCCATCCATCCATCCATTCATCACCATGCTTCATTCTCATCATTCTTCTTTCTCTACATCTTTCTCTGTAATCCAATCTCTGGTATCCATCCACCTATCCCATTCTCGATTTTCCTATATGCAGGTTCCCAATCTCTATCTTCAGTGTTTATCTCCCAATTGTGTCCTGCCCTAGTAACCATTCTGTATTGTTTCTCTCCATGCGACTTTCATACCCCATGTAACTCTAGGTCGTGTTCTGTCTCCTTCCCTAATATGTTTTATTGTTTTGTTCTCACCTACATCCACCTTGCTGTAACCTCTCATTTGTCACTCATACATTCTGCATTTCCCTAGTTCGTTCTTCTCTTGAAGCACATCACCCTCATTTCATTCACTTCTATAATATCATCCTTTTGTGGTATGCTTCTTACATAGGCTTCAATCATTATCAAACAAACTATTTCTTTGTTATTTACATTTAAAACTGCATTGGGCTTTATTGACCAAGCCAGTTTTTGGGCCTTTGTGAAAAGGTACGTACCTAGTGGCGGGTGGGTGTTGTGGGAAATTATCTCTGGAGATAGCTCTTTAAATCTATTTTGATTTATATTTTCTTTGGTCAGTCCCTGACAATGCTTGATTTATTGGGTAAACTTGTTTGTGTTTTTCTGCTTCTGGTTTCTCACTAAGATTTTTGTTACACTTTCCTCTTCTCCAGTGGTCGAGTTGCTAAAGAAGTTATGGAATCAAGTGCAAAAATCAAGAGAGAACCACCTGAAATTCACAGGTAAATTGCCCAACAAATCTTGTTACCTGGGCTTGTGCAATGTATATTGCCCTGTAAAAGAGTAAGCAGCACGTGTTGTGAGCTATAGCCCTGCTATATTCCTCCTTGTATTTCTTCATGTTCCCACACCATGTACGGTAATTGTAATTATAACATTATAATCTGGTGCATGTAATGTATTGTATTTCTCACCCACAGGGCTGGGATGGTGCCGAGTCGCAGTTGTCCCTCTATCAGTCACGGCATGCGGTTGAGTAGTGTACCCCGGACCCGTAGGAGAGCTGTTCACATATCCATCATGGAAGGTATGAAGAGTGGAACTTTAAACAGTCAGGAATCTTGGGAGTATAGTGTAATTATTTAAAGGCCATGTGAGATTCTTCTCTTATTCTTATGTTATCTACAAAGAGCCAAGACTGTGGCTGGAGCAAAAGAGGTGGCTAAGGTATTAGCTGTAGAGGTATACAATTTGTCCTATATGGGGATGAGTAAAGGAATAACAGAGATCTATTAGAAATGGAAAGCTTAATCCAGTGAAATAGCCATTATAAATAGCATCTTAGAAATGGTACATTTGGCTTGTCGAGATTCCCTTCTGTAACATTGTTTGGTGGAGCAATCATCGGAGAACAATAATATGTTACTGTTGGGGTTAGGTCCTACACCTCCACTCAAAATGCTTCTGATTGTAACTCCCATGATTCTAAACTGAGCTAAGAATGGCTGCGTTTATTGGGAGATACAGTTCAAAGCATATCCACATACCTCTCAATGGTCACAATTTTCCACACCGGTCTTGCAGTTCCAGGTTGGTATGTAGTGTCCAATGTGCCCAGAAATGGCTAGGTGTACTTAAACAAAATGTGCCATTTTTGGCACTGTACTCAGAGTAGCTCATAAGTATATCAACAACAATTCATTTTTGAGGTGCTATTGTGGCAGGTTTCATGCCTTTGTTTTCTATATTGCAATTGTGCAGTCAATAATTAGGGTTTGACAATTCAAGATGGCTGAGTTGTGGTAAAGGGATAGTATAATCACCAAAAGAGCCGCATTATGTGTGTTATATAAAGGGGTACTTTAGTCACCGTAATAACTTTAGCTTAATGTAACTGTTTTGGTATATAGAATATGCCCCTGCAGTATCTCTGCTCAATTCTCTGCCATTTAGGTGTTAAATCACTTTGTTTATGCAGCCCTATCCACACCTAAACACTTCCTGTAAAGAGTGATCTAAACTTTAGATTTTATTGCAAATTCTGTTTAATTTAACATTTCTAATCTCCTGCTCTATTAGTAGCCTACTAAACCCTGTAGGAGCTTCAGTTTACAGAACAGGAGAAAAAACTTCCAAACTAAGTTAACATCCCATTGAAAATAATAAAAAAAAAAATTTCATGCAGGTTGTGCGAGTCACAGTCATGGAAAGTGTGACTAGAAACAAAATTAATTTAACTCCTAAATGGCAGAGAATTGAGCAGTGAGACTGCAGAGGCATGATCTATAAACAAAAACTGCTTAATTAAGCTAAAGTTGCTTTAATGTCTATTTTATTCCTTTTTTTGTTTTTTTAAATAAATTCAGATAACTTTCTTTAAATGCACCTAGGCATATGACAATGCACCTAGGCATATGACAATGCACCTAGGCATATGCACTACATATTACAGTCTCCTTCCTGACTGCAGCACCATAATGATACTCACATATGCTGTTCCTGCTGCTATCACAGAGTGTGTGAATTGTGTGCTTTTGTCTAGAGTTGTAAAACGAACCTAATAGATGGTTTCATGTTTGAATCTTTGGATGCTCTTCATTTTTAGTATGGTCACATCAGTTTTTTTATTTGTTGGGATTTGAATAGCCCTAGGGGGTAAATAAAATATGTAGATTTTATATTTCTGTATGTTCCTGTTTACTTTGTGTGCTTTGACACCCACATTAGGTACATAAAAACAGGCAACGCTGACAGTAAGCTTTTATAGATTGAGATTAAACCACCATTACCTTGCAACACTGAATTTGAATTTAGCAGAACTCATTATTGGGCCAAGAGGCTCCAAGTTAGATGTGTGTACTTTAATTGGACCAATACAGTAATTACACTGGGTATTTTGTTAGTGAATGCAGCAAGTTTGTGAGTATCTGAAAGGATGTGTTAGTGTATGTGGGGGAGTGGTGACAGCTGAACGCTGTGTCTCCTGCATCTGTCTGAGCTCAGTAGTAAATATATTCACTCCCAAAATAGCTGCAGAGCCTGAAGCTTCACCTTGTATGTCAGAGGAGGTGGGCAGAATGAGATTGGGTGTGAAGACACATTGCAGAGAAAAAGAGAGACTGGGAAAAGAAAGGAGGTGGGCAGAGAGTAGGAGATTTGGAGTGTAGATTGAAAGAAATAGAAGGTGACAATGAGTGTAATGTAGGAGTGAGGAAATAAAAGGATTGTGTAAAGAGACGCAAGGGAAAGAGATTAAGACAGAGTACTGAAAGAGAGAACGTGTGAAGGGATAAGGTAACTGAAGAGTCAGACAAGGACCTTTCGGAATTTAATTAGTGGACAACGTATACTTTAAGAGAGTGCGATCTTCATACACCATGGTGAAGTGTCTAATTCGCATCAGGACTAAGGTGAATGTTCACCTACGTATGATCAATCACTGCTACCGTGATGTAAAGGTTCGTGTACTAAACCTTGGGCCTCGTCTTCTGGGCAGAGCACTGGGGGCTCTTCCACTTTTCCCAGCTTTAACTGGAGTATTAGGCAGGGAGCCTGGACTTTCAGGAGAGGTTCTGTCTGGAATGGCTCCCTCAACCGCAGAAAGTACAAGAGAGACTGGAGTATCGAATGAGGTTGTGCCTGGATTGGCTCCATCAAAAGCAGAAGGTATTAGAGAGACGGGAGTTCCTGATTTACCTACGGCAACATCAGAAAGTTTGGCTCTGCCTGTTTGGACCAAGGGCATTGCAGAAAGGATTACACAGATGGGAGTATCTGGTGAAGCATCTGCTGTAATAGCTCCAACACCAGAAGAAAGCAGTGAGAAGATTGAGAAATCTGATGAGGTTCTGACTGGATTAACACTGGTAACCAAAGAAATTGAAAAGGGAATGGGAGAACCAAGTGAGGTTGTGATCGAATGTGCCCCAGACTCAGATCAAAGTAATATGAATATTGAAGAACCAGATAAGGACCTTATTGGATGGGCACCAGCAACAGTAGCAGACAGTGGGAAGAAGAGGCAGCAGGACACTGTTCGGTATTTGCAGGGTATGTCTGTGGAAATGCACCACTTCTATAAATATTTTGTGGTGAGAGGATGATTGAGGGAGTGAACCATCAAGTTACTAGTTATGTTTATGTGCGATCCATATGTATCGATATATTTTTATATATTAATCATCCATTGGGAAAATTATGCAGCTTGTGCAGGGAGTCTGATACATATTATAATGCACACAGGGATGTATCTCATGTAGGACTTCCATGTCCACATATTTTTGTGAACACACTTAGTATTGCTTCTTTATGATGATTGGCAGCACATGAAAACATCTTCCCCTGCAGTATGTAGAATTTATACACTGGAGGAAGGAAATCAGTTCATTAGGGAAGGCCATTTCTTTTTGGATGTCTTCTTAATTATTTGATTTTCATCCAGCAACATATCAGTGTTTCACACTACAGGGGAGCATGCTGCAAATCGACATGGAGAACTTATGTCTCCAGGAAAATACAGTGGATTTAGCAGCCCTAACTTAATTTGATCTTCTACCCCTAAGTACAAAGAAGACTTTCTCAGCATTGTATTCACATACCCTTGAATCGTTACAAACTGAGCCCCTGTAAATCTTAACTGTAGGAGTCAATAAGGAAGGTTTGCCTCCCAGTTTAAGTATTTAATGGAAAAAAAAAATCATATATTTAGGTAAATATAGTTTGTTGAGATGGCTATTGAAAAAATACATGATATATTTGTTATTTATTCTGATTGTCATACACACACAAAAGTACTTTGATCATGCAGATTGTAAGCTCGTTCAAGCAGGATCCTTATGACCCTATTGTTCCTGTGACATTTGTAATAGGTTGTATCATTAGTTATGTTAATAGTTCATTTATCTTTAAATTCCCTCCATTATAACATTGTAAAGCGCTGCGGAAAATGTTAGTGATATATAAAAGCCAGTAATTATAATAATGTATAATTGCAAACTGGTCCTAGAACAAAGTAGGTTTCTTTTCATTTAAACACATTCTTTTTATGGAACACTAAGCAGTAACATGCATATACAATTAACTTTTTACTATTTATCACTTTCACGTGTTTTCTATACTCCTTTGTTTCTAATGGGTTTCTATTATGCATTTAGTTGGCTACTTGTTGGGACACTTAGCTGAAAGACATGCATATATGAAACAAAATGCCTAGTACACTTGTGTTAGTGTTCCTTTGAAGGGATACTAAGACATAGTGCAAGATTATGGTTTATATAGTTTATTAAAATGTTGTATTCCTTTGGAGAGTCTTCAAAATTTCTATTTTGGTTTGAAATTAAGGTTTATTGGTTTTACAGTATTTTTTAAAACTAAATGTCACAAAATGAATGCTGCTTCACAGTAAATATAGTAATCCTCTAGATTGTTCGTTTGTTGGAGCAGGGTCCAAATTAACCTCTTGTTCCTGCTAGCATTTGTAATAATTTGTATTAGTGTATCAATACAACAGTAGACAACGTAGTTAAAAACCAAGAGGGAGTAAAAGGGATGGGATTAAAGGGAGACAATGGAAGAGAGGAGAAAGAGGAAGGATTCTAGTGGGTAATTGAGAAGCAGAGGGTTGGATAACACACTGGAGGAAGCAATATTTTGGCCCAAGGGGTTCACAATAAGAATGGGTGTATGATTGCTGTGGATATTATATCATGGGATTGAGACTGTAAGTTTTTCCACAGAGTGTTAAAACCAAATCTTACCTTTGACTGCTGGTGAGAGAGGGAGATTTTCCAATGTTACACAAATAGGATTCAGCCATTGGAATGGAAAGGTTTGTGGACACACATAGCCTGAAGATGAGCTCATATCTTGTCCTCGAGAACTTTGGGTCATATTATCTGTTAATAATGTGTTCACTCCAAGGGCTCAACCTATGTGTAACCTTGGAAAACCTTACCAGCAGTAAAAGGTAAGATTTATTTTTCACACTTTATGGAAAAACTTACAGCCATGATACCTGCCAATACTACACCAGTGCTAGATAAGACACCGACTCCATCTGTTAATTCTTAGAAAATGCTCTGGAATAACATTTTAACTAGGAGACTAAACATCATTTAATATGTATATACAAACACATCAGCAGCCTTTTCCCCTCTGATATTCTCAGTTTACATCTTCTTGCAGGTTTGGAGTCTCTCCGTGACAGTGCACATTCCACCCCTGTTCGCTCCTCGGATCATATCAATGCTTTGTCTCCTGGAGTTTCCAGAGAAACGGTGATCAGTGATGAAGCTTATACACCATGCTGCAGCATCCTCCCTACGCCTGTGTGTGATCCTACCCTGGAGACAGCTTTTGGGCAGCAGGTGAATGGGGCACCATGCACCACCCAAGAAGAGGAAGGTGATGTCTCTGTGCACAGTGTGCCTGACACCGAAGTTCCTCCACCTGCTCTTCCTGGGCCAGAGGGGGTCAGCCAGAGGGAATCTGAATCAGAGCAAGGAAACAAGTTTCTGCAAAGTGTGCTTCGACTGCTGGCAGTCACATTTTGTCTTCTTTTAGCATTGCTTCTGCTGCTTGTCATATTGGCTGAGTCTGACCTGGAATTAGCTTTTCTCAGGGACATCCGACTCACCCCTGAATTCCAGCAGTTTCATTATCAGTACTTCTGCCCCCTACGGAGATGGGTGTCCTGCAAACTGCACCCTATTATCCGCCTCATAGACTCCTGAACCTGTGTTACACAGTGGCCATCTTTAACTTTGAGGAGTGATGTCTTCCACTGTCCTCCCCTTCTCATCCCTCTATTGACAAACCTTTCATAGCTCAAAGTGGAGAAGTGGCAGATTAGCACTACACTGAAACTTCTCTAGCTAAGGGTGGTTTGGGAATTAAAGCCAAGGTGAGAGGGGTGGAAGGTGCCCCTGAATTATTATGATATCTGCATGGGGGGATTAGACCTGCTCTGGGTCACTGCAACCTTTGTAATTTCACACACATCTTCTCAGCTCCAGGAAAAACTTACAGAAGACTTCCAATTGCTGTCAGATGCTGATCTCATATCTAGATCACACTCAGCAGGATAGTGAGCAAAACTCTCTATAGCTATAAAATGGCATCTATTCAAAACCATATTCATTGGAGACCGCTGTACTTTTTTTATACTTCTTCAGCAGCCAGATTGGCTTCTTTGTTTGTAAAGGTATATAAATAAGCCCTGCTTGTCTATAGAATGAGATCGCTAGTTGATATAGTCTAAATTTGTGTGTTGACATTGTTTACACATTGACCAGATTCAGATTTTCTTGGAGCTGACACACAGAGTTAGTTGAGTTACCCCTTGAAGGAATGTAGAGCTAACAAGATACAGGTCATAATTCAGAGATCCAAAGACATTCAGTGCCCATTGGAATATAGAGTAGTTAGTGCAGGCTGTCTAAATACAGGTATAGAGGCCAGAGACAAAATGATTGCGTTTATACCTAGCACATTTCTGCTGATACTGGTTGTATGTTACAGATATCCTTTGATATGTTGATTGTCCCTCTGGCTGTATTGAATGGAGATCGATACATACAGCACACATGGTTAAAGATTTAGGGTGGGAGTTATGTGTCTGGATATTTAAGCATAGGAGAAGAGGAGTGTGTTCCACTACTTATGTGTTAGGAATTGAGCGATATACATCCTGATGTGTATTAAACCTGAGGGGCACATACCTTTCACCTGTCCCTGTCTGTTAAAAGGCAGTAAGTGGTATATAGTTTATGTGTAATAGAACCAGTGACAGGTGTGTCCCCCCGATGTAAGTGTAGGAGGATAAGGTGAGTAGCATGTGTCCCAGTACCAAGTAGCGGTGGGAGGTTTTTGTTAAAAAAAAAGAGAGCTTAAAGATGTGTCCTGATTGATTCCTGTGTGGTAGGGGCTGGTCATTGGTATGTGTTTTGTTGTATGTCTTCAGGTGAACAGACATTAGGACATCTTTGGGTTAGAATGGAGGAAGCAGAATGTATCTATGGCCTATTGTAGATGAAATTCTCAAGATATAGGGGCAGTGTTTGTAAAGTGGTTTCCTAAAGGTATATTAAGTGGCATCTCATACCACATGCAACCCTGCAGCTTTAAGAACCTCAGCTATATGTCCTTCTCACCTTCCTAAAGTAACGTTTTGTGAATGATATGTACCACTCACTCTTTTTACTACCCAGACACTGGGAAGATCTAATCCTAACAATCATTAGGGATTGCTGTTGTCTGTCTCTAAGAGAGAACAAAGTCCAATTCTCTTTAAAATAGCACTGTCATGTTTTCCTTTTCTTAGGCCAACTGCATATTAAAGAAACACTATAGGGTCAGGAACACAAACATGTATTCCTGACCGTCTAGTGTTAAAAACACCATCGAGCCCCCAAAATATGGTAAAATCTTACTTTATTCCAGTGTGCTGCTGCTGGCTCTGCACCTGATCTGCCTGCTTGGCTGACATCATCAGAAGTGTGGATCAAAGCCAATCACAGTGCTTTCCCATAGTGTCAAGGAGGCAGATCAGGGGCAGAGCCAGCACAAGCCAAACACAGCCCTGGCTGAATCAATGCATCTCTATGAGGAAAGTTCAGGGTCTCCCTGCAGAGGGTGTAGACCAGCGGTTCCCAAACTGTGTGCCGGGAGCAGCAAGTTATTTTCCCGGTGCTATGATGATAGCACCAGAAACTGTGCTCTTCTCTGCCGGCTCTGTAGGACCAGAGGGGAAATCAGAGATCTCCCTCTCTGTTTTGCCAGCACTTTGCTGGCAGCCGGCAGGGGAGGGAAGGAGAGAGAACCCGGGGGAGCTCAAACATGCAGCTCCGTCGGGTTCTCCTCTCGCGAGCTCGGAGCGTTGCTGCGGTTACCACAGCAATGCTCCAAATCTCGCAAGAGTGAACTCTGGTAGCTCCCAAGGCTGCTAGAGTTCACTCTCACCACTGGGAGCACCAGGGATTGCCTTGTACTGTCCCCCTCCCAGGCAAAGATAAGCAGGGAGGGGGGGGGATCTAATTTTTATTTTTAATAAAAACATTTTTAAAAAGTATATATTTATTAATTTGCCCTCCTACCCCCAGACCCCACGCCACACAATAGCTCCCATACACACAATTACTCCTCCATACAAATACATGCCCCCACACACACACTGTGCCCAAACTGCCCCACATACACAAACTACATCCTTAAAGAAACGCAATGCAACCCTCACACACACTACAGCCCCTATCCCGGCAGACTCCAGGTAAGTTGTCAAACTGTTCTTAAACAGTTTGACTACTTACCCTGTGAGGGCACTACTGGCACCATAACCACTACAACGTAATGTAGTGGTTATTGTGCCTAGATTGTTTCTTTTAAACAATATACCAGTGCCACTCCCAAGATTAGGGGCCCAGTATATGCCACAATGCTGTACATGTATACAACCTAGAATTTTTTTTGACTTGGGGTGCCTTGGAAAAATATTGAAATATTAAGGGCACCTTGAACCTAAAAAGTTTGGGAACCACTAGTGTAGACACTGAATGTTAGGATGCATTTTAGGCAGCCAGGACCCGGGAAGGATCTCTAACAGCTACCTGAGGAGTGGCCAGTGAAGTTATCACTAGGCTGTAATGTAAACACTGCATTTTCTCTGAAAAGACAGTGTTTACAGCAAAAAGCCTGAAGGTAACGATTCTACTCACCAGAACAAATTCAATAAGCTGTAGTTGTTTTGATGACTATAGAGTCACTTTAATTATAATACAACCCTATTTGCCACTTGCCTTTATTAATATGTATTAACTTTCCTTCCTTACGCCAGATCTCAATAACTGGGCGCCTACAGTTTGTTTTCTGTCAATGGTGTCTGCAGTTTGCTTTCTGCAGAATTCCTTTGACTGATGGATTCTGGGTAAGTTAGCTTAGCAAATGAAATGTTGAGCTTCACCCATTGCCAAGCATCACACATCCCATAGATAAATTACTCTCTACTATTTCTTATATATAATTAAAAAACTAAGCTGAATTAAAAAAATAAAACAAGGGGAAATAGAGGGATAAAAGAAAACAGACAGTGGTGCTATAAGTGTATGGTGTAGTCCCCAATTATTTTATAGCAGAAGTGCAAAGAGGATGTGCAGGATAGTGACAGGGCCCATGTTACTTAATACAAAATTTGCAGAACAGCAAAAGTAAAGTATTCTGGGCTAAGCAAGTAGATTTAACTTAAACTGTTTTAATCCGATTCCTAAACAATTTGGAATAGCGTCATCGACATTCAAACATCAGAAAAACAAATATTAATTTTCCATCTGTTCGTAAATAGTGCTAATTAGATAAGTGTATGAAATACATGCAGGTCTACTATTGGGTACTAAATGGAATGAGTTGTATATATCTCCAAAATCTGTGTGGGAAGAGGTAAAATACACTTCAATATGCATATGGAAACGGTATTAAGCACAGATATCTATGTATGAGAATGGGCACTATACATAAATATCTTTGAGTGAGAAGGATTTTATATTCTTATACCTTGGCATGATAGGGGTCTTATATACTGGTACCTGTAATTACAAGGGGTATTAAACAAAGCTATCTAGGTAACATGGGTATGTGACATTGATCTCTAGTTATAACATACACTAGATCCAGCTATGAGAAGGGGTAGAGTGAGCTTGGAAGGTGTGTGTCCACATGTAGGGATAAAATAAGGGATATGCGTCTCCAATGTCTGTGTGTTAAATTTTATTGATGCCCATGTTGATAAATATGCCTTTGATGTCTGTGTGTCGTGCTGTAAGTCACTAGTCTGTAATGCCCTTCCCCTCTGGCTGTTTTATGTTACAATGTAATCAGTAGCTGCAGGCCAACCCTCAGCCCTTTTCTCATCCCCAATGGACCTGCCCATTTCCCATAGATATGGGGAACATATCTCTTTGCCTCCAAACATTATTACCTTACTTTTATATTGCAGAGACTGTTTCAAGGTTATATTTTATGAAAATAGCATTATTTTGTTATTAATAATACATTTAGTTTTTTTAATTGCTTTTTAGAATTTATTTTGTTGGCGTGTTATGTAAATAAATTAACAAATGGTAGGTGGTATTCACAGGAATTAGAGAGCAAGACAACTGCTCACCCCAATGTGTAACTTGGCAACTCACACACACCAGATGAACATTGTGCACAATCATTATATAAAATATATTTATATTTGTTTTTGCAATATGCTGTAACCTACTGATGATGTAGAAGTTACGTAGAAAGATTGTCTATTTGGATTTTAAAGAGGATGGTTTTTTTTAAAGTGTCCCTGTCACTGAAAATTGTAAATATGTCAACTAAAAAGATCAAAATAAAATACTATTTCTGATAAGAATAAAAAAAATATAACCAATTACATTTTGACCATATGATAGTTTTAGAAAATTAAAATTGCATCACAGTTTAAAACTATGAAACCCTGATAAAGAATGAATGGAAAAAAAATTATGGGCTGCATTTTATACTAGCAGCCAATCAGAAACTGGCATTTCATGTTCTAAAACAATGTTTTGATTAAATGCTATGTGATGAAGAAAATATTTTTCAAGACAGAGCCACTTTTAAGTCCCCATCCTTCTTTATCAAGTAGTAACACTGGAGATTGTAGGATCAAGAGTTGGAGCATGTGTGATGTTAATAAGTCAAAATAGATGGTTTGCTTTCCTTGTGTCCTTAGGCCTGTGTTCAAAGCAAATGTGGCATTTCTTAGTGTGGCAGCATTGAAGAGTATGCACTAGCAATGATCAGTATTTGCTCTACATGGAGCAATTAATACACAAGCAATTTTTCCAGTCAGACAGCTTGAATTTTTGCATTTCCATTTCTGGCGATTATCTTCTTTACAACATATCGGGATGCAGGTAAATGTTCCCTTTGGGGTGGGTAAAGGGATCCCTGCTATTCAAATTCTGGGGGTAAAGTTGGACTATGCAAAACAATAGTCATAATTGGAAGCATAAACTAAAGCTGTCATGGTTTCATTTTTTCTTTTGCTCACTATATAGCAAATCTGAATAATTTTAAATATTAGGTACATAGAGGCATCAGATTGCCTGTAGCTGTCCATTATGGAAAAACTTTTATAGATTTCAATGGAGAACTAGTCAGTTTATCACAGTGCAGTGTGGGTAAAATAATTACTTGCTTTAACAACCAGCACATGTATTTCTAGAAAGAGGCCTTTAAATGATTAGGAAATAAAGCCACGCAGACAGAATCCGTCATTTTATACATGTACCCATACAGCATTCCACTTTGTCCAAGGTGAATGTTTGTTAGTTCTTTCCTAGACAGTAGCCTCCTGTCAGATTACCTTTATACACCTGGCAGAGTAAGCACTGGCACCAAGCAATCAAAATGTGTATACAGATATTTATTTCCGAATAGAACGACATGATCTGAAGTCTCTGTGTTAGGAACATATTTCATAGACATCTTGACTACTGTGTCAATGGACAAGGGTAGTGTTGCCTCTAAGAATTATGGCAAATATAAAAACACTAATTAAGTTGCAGCTCATTTTAAAACATCAGTCTACACATTTGCATGGACCGATTGGGCATGTTCTAAAATTGTTTAGGGGGAACACTACCTAGAAGAACCATATGAAGGCAGAGAACTAGTCTATACAACATGTAAAAGTGCCGGTGTCGGCTTGATATGGGATAGATTAGGAGTTATGTATCCATAGTCATTGTGTGTATAAATCCTTCTATGCAGTTTTTTCCCCTTCTTCTAGAACTGGAGCTAGAAATATAATTCATTCTGGTGCTGGGTTGCTTTGTAACTGTGTTAAGTGTTAGATTAGCTGCCCTACTGGGCACATCCCATCGCTGTTTGACATAAGTCATGTGTTTACCAAGATTTCCCGTTTCCTGTTCTGAGCACACATGCTGTGGTCACGCATGAGCCAGTAGACCGCATGATGTTTTTGCTGAGGAAACTAACTGCAACTGTGAATCTCTTGGGTCTCATAACAAAACAGAAATGACATGTCCCATGTGCCAATTCCAAGTCATGTTTTCCACACATCTGCCAGGGCGTGTGAAGGAATGACATGCATAGTAGTCCTTACGTTGGACAATAACTTTTTAAAAAAATAAATAATTATGATCTAACATGGCTTGAGTGAGTTCTTCATCTTTGTTGTGGGGAATAATAGGGTTAAACATTAGAATGCTTTCACTTTGATGGGTGATAATGGTAGACTTTACATAAATTATATATAAATATAAAGAAAGTGTACAGGACACTGTCACATTGTCTTGGGTACAAACCAAAAAACAAGGAACCCTGTCAATGATCCCAGCACCTTTCAGACTAAACTGGAGGTTCTGTCCATAGGCTGATGGTGGCACAAAGGTAATTGATACAATTTTTCACTACACATTGTTCTATCTGCCTTTGGGACTGATATTGTATGTGTCGTTATTCTAACTCCTTAATCACGCTGGCTGCCCGAGCCACATAATGTCTAACCCAACTTTACAGCAACCAGTACAAATACTTCCACAAAGACTCAGTAAATGATAAAGTGTGTTAAATATGTATATTATATGAGATAGATGGAAAACAAATGCAAAAAAAACAAACTTACTCAACACAAATCTAGGAAAACATTTAAATAAGGCAAACGAAGGAAGGATAGTAGGTACCACCTGTGGCACTATAACTAGGAAATAGCATCCAACATTTGAATAAAAACACAATGCATTAATGAACTGAGGAACACCTTGGGAAAAGTAGAACATGCAATAGGTTTGAAAATGTGACAGGACAGACTTATGCACACAGTAACCACCATATATGGTTACGCTAAAATATCATTGCATCAGATGGTACAAAGATTAAATGAAATGTTTTCTATAAATTGTCACTGTGTTGCACTTGCAGGACTTGTACTTACGGTACTTAAATGCTATGACACACTTAGATTGGCAATGCTGAATTCCAAGTTCCTGTACATTTATTTTTGAGACCGCAGGTTGGCATGGATGTTTTGGGTTTTTTTAAGCGCTTAAGACTGGGTCTTTAAACAATTACAACAGGTAGTTAACCCTCATAACAAAGCATATATTAAAGGGAAAATAGAGGCATTTTCTTTAATATCAGCTACTCCCTAAGATTTGTAGCATGCCTTAAACTACATTCACATTATACAAAGTATAAATGAGCAGCTGTCAATCAATCTTTATTGATCTTTTGTTTTCGAAGTGCAAGCATATATTAATGGATCAGGAAAGGTTTATACTTTCACCCAACTTTAGGAATATAAACATGCTAATCTTATTTAAAAGGAACACACCCTGATGGATTTTTTTTTTTTTTTTACCATCACAACACCCCTAGGCATTTTATGTATGAATTAAAACACAAAATCCTTATCCAGGAACATCCACTAAAACTATATATCAGCAAGCATAAAACGGTATGCTTTCTATGGTTTAACAGGTAAAATAAAAGAATAGGCAGGGCTAAAAGTAAGGGAGAACGCACCCTACAACATTTTTCGCTCTTACAGTTATGAATACCAGTCTAAGAGTTATTTCTGCATAGTTATTTAAGGTTTATTTACACCAGACAAGCTCGTAAAAAGCAAACTTGGTGTGTTTGTTTAAGATGTATTCATCTTGATGGAATAAGGATTAATGTGAAAAAAAATAAAGTTTCTTGTGTCAGCCACAGAAGATATGCAGTCTGCCACTGCTGTTTCCTCCAACTAACAAATTCCTAGTGGGATGCATGGCATTGATAGAGCACACAGAGCCAAGGTATTCAGAGTCCTGGAAGGAGTGTAGAAGGTTCCCATTCTCATGGAAAACCGGAATCTGCCTGGGCCTTAACATGCTGCCAATTACAAAGCAGTCTTCCTGCTTGGGATCCCATACTGCTCGGAAACGGGTCAGCCAGCGTCCTGTATTGTTGTTATGCCTGGAGGAGATATGAAGGTTGATCAAAATTGATCTTAAAGGAGCTTTAGGCTGCCAAAGCTCCAGGGATATGTCAATACTTACAATAGTTTACCAAATACTGTGGAAGTATGCTTAGTTAGTGACAATTGATTAGTGGTGCTCAATGGCTCCTGGAGCATGTAACAATTATTCTCTTTTCTTATCATTCTATGTTGAACCAATGATTGAACTAACAATCTGGTGGAAATGTGAAGGCTGCTGACTTGTTAACATCCCTAGGTTGTTTCTACTAATAAAAGACTATCAATGCTGGCATAAGGTCTTTATAAAACTGAATTGTGATTCTAGAATAATATGCATTTGGTCGTGAATAGGCTATACATGTGCTCTCAGAACTTGTAAATGGTAGTAAACCTTACCTGAGTGAAGTAAAAGGAAGATCCACTGAGCTCAGACTGGAGCTGTCATACACCCTGCAGAGAAAAACAAAAACAAAATCAGACTGTTGGTTAATACACCTTGTGTATGGCACTAAATGATCGAGGATGGGACAGGAGCAGTGTAATCAGAAAACCACACTGATTTCCTTCTTTCTTGTATTAATCACTTCTTCCCTATGTCCAGTACCCTCCCACATTCACAGGCTAGGTCAATGGTCCTGTTAGCTGTATGACCTTGTTTCACCACCCGCCTCCACAGTTAACTGGTATGACTAAGCCTTCATACTATATATTGTTACACAAATTGTGTTTTTTCTCGATGATATTAGTTTATTCTCTACATCTGTAGCATTTCTTGGTGTATTATCAAATTTATAAAACAAAAAAGCACTTGTATGGATCTATAGTACAGGCCTAATCTACAGGTAATAACCACAATTGGTAAACACCAAGATTATTGCTCCTGATTCAAAAATAAATTGCCATTACCGTATTAAATCATCGGCACATGTGGTCAAAATTCGGTTGCCCGTCACGGGAGAGAAATATGCAGATGCTACACTTCTTGTGTGGCCAATCAATGAGAGCACTGGCTGTGTCGTCTTCTTGTTGAGCTTTCGGACATCATAAATACAAACATCACTACAAAAAATGAAAAAAGTCACTGTCTACAAGATCAAACATTGGGGGCAAATAATCAGTGCAGCTGCATAGTCTGCAGTAAAATGTTTCAACTTATATTACACAAAAATGCATTTCACAGATAGATGCCTATACTAAATCTGGCCTTGGCAAAAAAAAGATTGTGCACACTCAGCAGAGAAGGATTTTTGTATACAGTTACCAGCTGGAACTTCCTGAAGGGCACTGTGTATGTAAAATTGGAATGATTACGGGATTGGAATCAGGTTACAGTCTCGATGCTGCTGCCAGTTTCTTATGTGACGTGTGCACAAGCCAGACAGACCTCCACTTCAACAGGCAAATGTGTCTTGCGTTACACTTTCCACCCCCATACTTAATCTGAATTTACACAGCGATCTAATAAGTAGCATCAGAGAAAGATCATACTTCTAACAGGGTCTCTTTATAATCAGAACAGCCACGGTGTTGTCAGTAATGAACAGGAGTAATCACAGAACTAAAATAATCAGAAAGGACACTGAGGAAATGTAAGGATATTACAGTTAATACTAAAACGAGGTAATAGAGTTTGCCAAGTCACTATCATTCCGTCAGTTTGGCCGTGCTTCAGACTTACAATAAAAATAGCCTAGATTGTGTTAACTGTATTAGCACTGCCAACGTCATGGTTCAGTTACAAGCCGTGAAGAAATACTAAGAAATGAACTGAAAAATATGTGCAATGCATCCAAAGCTGCTGCTCTACACAGAAGAGTTAAATGTATGGAAAAATATAATTCTACTCTACAATCCTGTATGTATGCATCTTTCTTAAACTGGTGCCCTGCATTCTGCCCAATATTTGCCACCCCACTTTATGATTTCTGAGGAGCCCACAAACAGCTCTCCAACATCAAAGATGAGTGATTATACACAAGAACAGCTCTGAAAGTTTAAAGTGGACTTAATTATTTATTTTCATGTCTTCTATAAAAATAGTGTTAAGTTTAGAGACTCTTTAAAGACCTGTTGAGAATTAAACAGCCATTCTTACCATGCCCCTGCTACAACACAAATGTTTCTGTTTACAGGATGCACATTCACAGTGCGGGCACTCTTCATTCCTAGGCTTGTTCGATGTTCATAGGATGTTCCTGGCGTTCTACTATCCACAAGCGATAAATGTGCATCCCAATGACTGACCAACAAGACAGAGGCATCTGGTGATAGGAAATCAAATGACGAAAAAGAGTCTTCTGCATCTCGGTAAATCTAGAAAACAAGATAATAAATCTTAAACAAGAGAATCAAGTTCTGTTTAAACATATTAAGGATTCTAGATTTCCATCGCTGTAATAACGCAGCTTTGTCCACATGGCTGTCTTCTCTGGTATTTGCTTGTTGGATTGTAAGAGATTTTGTATTAATTTGGTTATAACTGGATTGCACCAAAGTCCATTCATTTAACTCCCTGCATGCCTTGCAGCTCAAGAAATCCTTCTGTATCTTCAACTGAAACACTTCATACAACACCTGTCTGTCTATGTCCATATTTTTCCTGCCAGATTTGAAAAATTTACTCTTTGATTTTACATAAACATGCTACACTGCCTGCCTGTAATTTAGATACTCCACACACGATGCACTTTAGCATGTTACTTGTTACAGTTTATACAAGTGCTCCGGCACAAAGGCTTCTCAAAATAAAGAATTTCCTGGCACAGATGAAAAGTGTGTGCCAGAGAAAGAGGGGAAGACTTGCACAGGCTGTACACACCAAGTCTGCATCTTTTGCACACAGTTATTTCCCCCCCATGTAAGAAAAAAATAAATCAATAAATGCATGCATTTTTTCATTGTGGTACATCTACTACATAGTTACATAGTTATTTTTTCATCCAAGAGACACCCGAGTATTAAGGAAGGAGAGATCATAAATTACAATAGGTCCACCCCCCCCATTGTAATTTATGGCCCACACCCACCGCGCAGGGGTGGGGGTCCGGGGGAGGACAGTAGGTGTGTCCCCCTCATCTTTATGATGGCCCCCACCGTCGCACAGGGCGGAGGCTTTTTTTTACAGTGAGCAGCCACAGGGAGTTATCTCCTAAACGGCTGCAAGATGCAGCCACGGCAATGAATAGTATCGGAGTTTCATTAATTCGAATGAAATTCAAATACGAACAAAGTCCCAAATTGCGTTCTAACACGAATGGAGAAACCGTTAGAACGCAATTCGGCAATACTGACAGAAGGCATCGTGGGAACAGGGAGGAATGCCAAGGATCACGGGAAAATTGCTGTGACCACTGGAAACGAAGCACACTTAGCTCCTCTGCTGGTCACTGCGTAGAAAACCTCCATAAGAGAAATAGTCCCTACTTTTTCTTATGTTTTCAAGAAAACTAGAGCAGACAGGAAGAAATGAACAGATCCTGAGAGAGGGAGAGAAGAGGAAACGATTGGGGAAAGGCATGACAGTGCCGCTTTAACTGACACTGCAAGTCCTTCTAGGTGGGGTTATCTAAAAAAACTGCAATAATTACCTGCTCAGGGTTAAGAGACCTGGGACAGTGCACCCAGACCGCTTCAATTAACTGAAGTGATCTGGGTGCTTACAGTGTCCCTTTAACCTCAAAAAACAAACACACAGGTTTGAAAAGACTTTTATGCTTCCTAATTTTCCAGTTATAATATAATACTTTACTATTTTAAATTTAGTGAACAGTTGCACATTTAAAAAAAGAATTAGAGATCCTAGTACAACCAAAAGGATTAGATAAACGTGAATTAGATGTTTATGGAAGTTTGTTTCCACTGTGAATCATGTAGCAGGCTATTCTGAACACAATGTAAATGATCTTACCTCTTCAAAGACCAAACGGTTCGCGTCTCCACAGCGTACTGTGCCATCATAACTGAGTGAAAGCAGGTGTGCTGAATTTGAAGGGGAAAAGTACATGCAGCAAACGGGTCGGGAATGAGGGGTAAATGCATACGCTCCATTATCATGAGACTGGTGATTCTGCAAAGGAAGTTAATATGGGCATTATGCAGTTTTGCCAATAGTGAGGATGGAACACATTCAAATTTTGTGATTCTGAAAAGATTTGCAGTACACAGAAAACTGATAAGTGATTGCAAAGTTCATGGAACATGAGACATAATATATGAAGACATTTCTGCAATGTAAAGACTGCTAGAACTAATGAAAAATGCATGCACTGAAAAATAATCTTGAAAATATTGTAATAAAAATACTTGGTGACCCTTAGCACCACACTACAACCCAACACAACTACTTGCCAACACCAATGGGGTCATGCCTCCATCACAGACCCATGACCTAGGTAACGAATCCGCAGACGAGTAGCTCAACTACACCCCTACATGACCTCACCCTCCACCTAGGATTTTACACATGTTATAATTTACAAAATAGTGCTAAAACTTATCAAATGCATTATTTAACCAACGTTGCAACCTGTTACCCTCTCAAATGATGCATATGCTGAACCATGGATAAGTTTTGTGCACGCAAAACTAAAGAATTTAAAAAAAATAATTAAAACAATACTTGGTGACACTGTGTAAGAGAAGCTGTTCAAATATTTCCACCACACAAGAATGAGAATATATCACTACTTTGCCTAAGATAAGGAGGTCATAATTATGTACCAGTAGAAATGTGAACATTGGTCAGTGTGGAATGAAGGTGTCTTGAACTAGTCATGTAATCAATGGGGCTGGCCTGAATAGCAGGACAGATATAGCTGTAAACAGGCCTAACCAATGCAAAATGTCTTCTGAAGATTTTCTTCCAACATTTACTGGACTTAAGTTCCCATAGACTGGTCTAGCTTACTGGATAGTTGAGTGTAGTTATTTGTGTTAAGTCCACTTTTATTTTATGTTTTTTTTTTTTTATCTGTAATATTTTCTTATATTTATTATATGGTCTTATAATTTGTTATATGTGTTTTGAATAATATAAACACTACAATGCACAACATTTCTAATCCAAAGTGGTCTTTAGGCTCTAGTATCCAAATCAAACCTTTAATGACCTGGTCTATTAAACCTTTCTTGCTCACATTCTCCCCACTGTCGCAGCTTGGCAAAAAGTATTTTCCATGACAATTATCAATTGGTATCACTTATTAAAGTCATAAAGTGCTGTGGAAAAAGTACTCACTGGGTTCCAAAGCCCAACTTGACCCCATTTGTCTCCAGCTGCTACAAGAATCTGGCTTTCAGATGGATGCACAGCCACAGAAAAAATACGGTCGCGAACAACCTTTGCAACTCCATTATCTAATAGGGACATGCTCTTCAAACCGGATACATATCTGATGGACCAAAAAGAAGGAACCGTGTAAAAGGCAAAAATCAAACATATTTATTAATGTTTGCCTGCTTCTGGTACGCTGGCTGCTAAATGTTCCCATTAGTTTGAAAACCACAAAACTCAAGTAACGTTAAAGATTAGAATATAATGAATTTTCTGATTCCTCTTAACCCAACACAGATTCTAATACTTGCAGTTTAATGAATAAGCTTAAATGTGAATAGGCAATTTGACAACATAATGTTGAAGAATTATTACTAGAAATGTAACAATGTGGAATTCACAGTTATTTTTTTTTTTCTAATTGTCTTTTGCAGGCTAAACCGTGCTATAATAAATCATATTCCCACCTTTTAAAGTCTGCAGATTGTGTTGTCTTGGAACTGCCAGTGACGACCTGTTTGATTAAACACAAATGTATTATGCACAAAACCAGAGATAACTGCTAACAAACAGAACAATACAATTAGAGTAAGTAAGAAATAACCTGGCTGATAGAGTCCCATGTCTTCACAAAGTTCTCAAATGTGCCACTGCCCTCCACGAAATTGATTGGCATCAGCTCGAGTGGACCAGGAGGCTTCATAGGCTTAACATATGGTAAACAGAAAAAAGGAATTAGATAGAATGCCCATCATATGTAGAAACAAACATGGAGAGAATTGACAGGAATTCACAGTGAATTTCAAATTTAAAGTGGCACTGTAACATTAGGATTATAAACAGTGTTCTAGAATTCTCACTATTTTAAGCATCAGGCATTATGCACTCCGGTAAGGGGTTAAATAGGTACAGTTTACTTACATTAAACCTCACAGCTGGTGCTCCACGGCTGCCCTGCCTCCTCGACTGAGAAAATTCTGGGACGCATTGGGAGGATAGAGCTTGTGCACAGCAAATTGCCACGCTGCACCAATCAAATACTCTATATGAGATGTAGTGGACTGTGTATATTTAGTGTCCCTTTAAGGCCAAAATTGCCAAATTTCCAGTTCAACTATATTGATCTCACATGTGAAAGTCTCTTTGATAACCCTGAATATATGATCGCAAAGTGCATACAAATATATATATATATATATATATATATATATATATATTTTTTTTTTTTTTTATGCTGTTTAATTGGCTAACTAGTTTTATCATATTGCAAGATTTCAAGAACACTTAGGTCCCTTCTTCAAACGTAATACTATACAAATTCCCTGAAGCATTAAGTACATATGCACATTGCCAGCAGAAAAAAAAAAAAAAAAAGGAGAAAAAAAAATAGAATTCAATATAATTAACGGTTATCCTAGTCAGATGTGAAGACCATTTATCATTCCAGGCGTTCCAAAAGTAAGCCACACTATAGAAAGCCAGTTTTTATCGCACTGCATTGTTGCCCTAACTATTTTGTTCTACATTTTATTCAAATGGATGTCCTGAAGTGGGGACATTATTTAATAAACTTCTGCAATGCAGAGTGATATGCAACCTAATAAAATACTCAGATTAATCCGACCAATCAATATATGAAATTTGCAAGCTTATCAAGCATTTGCAGCACACAGACGCCAAGTTAGCAATGTGCCATAAACCTAAAAGACAACTGTGTAAAAGCACTCACATGTAGTGATGTTACAGCGCCCTCTAAAGGGTATTATGATAACACTACCTTATTCATGCTTACAGTGTAATGTTACTCACATGTTCTTCCAATACTACCGGCTCTGGCATATTTGGTTGCTCTGTGTTATTAGTAAGTGGATTATTAATTCCTTGCAGTCTTGTGGAGCGGCGTCTTGTTGATTCCTCTATTATTTTTACTTTTTTCTCCCTATAAAAAAAAAAAAAAAAAAATTTAATGGATTTCATAGATTCCACCAACATACCTATCTTCACCCAGTGATTGCTTCCCTCCTCCCCAAAGTGGGCTCTGTGGGTGCCTACCTGCCACTTACATTTGCTCTGTGGAGCGAACAGAATCAGTAAGAAAACCTCCTTAGCTCTCTGACACACAGTCAGGGTGGTGCTTTTGAATTTAGTTATATAATAATCAGCACCTTTATAAACGGCAATTAAGAGATGATGCTGCTGACACAAAGCACTTCAGCAAGCTGGAGTACTTTATGTTAAGGAGTATCCCTTTAAATGTCTTGAGATTTTTTTTTTACTATTTATCAAACAAGAAACCTAAGCATTTTATAACAATACCAGCCTTTATAAAAGGGACATGTAGCACCAAACGACTTTAGCTTAAGTAGTTTTGGTGTTTGGATCATGCCCATGCAGTGTCATAGGTCAATTCTCTGCCACTTAGGAGTTAAACAGCTTTGCTTATGCAGTCATTGCCACACCTCCCCTCGCTGTGACTTAAACAGCCTACTCCTACACACTTCCTGGCAAAAAAAAAAAAAAAAAAAAAAAAACGTATATTTTTTGTTTAGTTTCTCTTACTGCAGTGTGTTTAATTTACCATTTCTTATTCCCTGCTAGAGCCTACAGCAGACTTTAGTGTGATTAAAGTTCAATTACTAGTGGAGAAAAGAGGCATTAAAGTAAATACACTATGCTGTAACTTGCCCGCTAAACCAAGTTAGGTTGAGCAGCAGCTAGTCAGTCTGATCCAATATGGCTGTTCAGCCTGGGGGGGATAAATCAATATACATAATTTTAAAATGTATAATCAAGTTTCATTAAATGTAATAAACCTTACAAAAAAGTGAACATTTGATGAGCTGTCTTTTTAGAAGGAGTTTATTGGACAACTCCTCTTGAAAATGCACTTCAACATAAATTAGTCTTGCTCTATTCGATCTATGGTACAAACATAAAAACAGTATTAAAACAAAACAACATACCTTTTGATTCCATTAGTCTTTCTTCGATTGTTTGGGGAAGAACGGAGAACTGAAGCAGACTAGAAAAGATTAAAAACTAAATAAATAAAATGCAAATCAAATAAAAAAAATTGGATACAGACTTACTGGTCAAAGCAAGGAAACTATTTTAAAAATAAATAAACTCAATATCCTGATTAACACATGGAGCAGTGATGGGGAACATATGGGACTCGTGCCAAAACGTGGATGCAGAGGCCTCTTTGCAGTCACATGAATCAAAGGTAAGCCACAGTAAGAGTAATAAGGACTAGCTCTTCTGTAAGGGCCCATCAGCTGGGTGGGAGCAGTGTCTGAGAATACTGTTAGTTACACTGATTGCCCAATAAGGAGTGAGCAGCACTATTTATACTAATTTCAGTTTTTAACATTGTCCTTCTGCAATGATAGGAGGGGATACTCTTTAGGTAATTTCCATATTCATACTCAGCACTGCCAATGAAAGAAGCCTTGTTTTAGATTTGCTTAAAAATATACACTATGACCAGATTATATCTCTGATTATTCTACATAGTATGTGAACTTTAGGTCATTATATCCGAAGCATGTCCAATAAGCCAACAATCAAAATAATCTCTGTATTGAATCCACCACTCACTTTGGTCACGTGAGTTACATGGTTACATAGCTGAAAAGAGACTTGCGTTTATTAAGTTCAGCCTTCCTCACATTTGTTTTTTGCTGCTGATCCAAAATAAGGCAAAAAAAACCCAGTTTGAAGCATTTCCAATTTTGCAACAAACTAGGGAAAAAAATTCCTTCTTGACCCCCAGAATGGCAGTCAGATTTATCCTTGGATCAAGCAGTTATTACCCTACATTGAAAGATTATATCATTGAATATTCTGTTTTTGCAAGTATGCATCTAGTAGCTGTTTGAACATCTGTATGGACTCAACAAACAAAACAAAAAAAACCCTTTCCTTTGTCTTAGACAAAATCTTCTTTCTTCCAGTCTAAACGCATGACCTCGTGTCCTATGTAAAGTCCGGTTTGTGAATAGCTTTCCACACAATGGTTTGTATTGGCCCCGAATATATTTGTATAATGTTATCATATCCCCTCTCAGGCTGTGTTTTTCTAAACTAAATAGGTTTAAATTTGTTAACCTTTCTTCATGATGTGTTCCATTCCTTTTATTAATTTTGTAGCCCGACACTTTTTCTAGTTTCTACACTCCAGGAGGTTACTCACTGAACACCAAATTATGGGAAATTCAAACTGTTAATAGTCATGCTTGGGTTTTTTAAACTGAGTTTCCAATATAATACAGCTCTGTGTTTAATCAATTAAGTCCTAGGTGACAAGGCAACAGAGCCAGAGAAAAGATATGGCCTCAGGAACTTTTAAGAAACTGAATGTCAAGCACTCATTGTACTATGTTACACCATCCCTTAATTTACATTGTTTGGAGATTGGAATGGCATATATGTATTTCTCCACCTCACCCCAGATTCTCAAATAGAACGTTACTTAAAAAGTAGTTGAACAAAATATGAAATACAAACCTCAAGCAGTTTTAAAGAATTTAAAAACTTGGCATTTTCCTTAATGTTTTTCAGCCTTTCAAGTTCATATGGAGAAAGGCCTAGCAGCTCCTGTAAAGACAAAATTATTTGTTAATTAGTATAATTACATGGGAGCAAGAAAAAGAAGCCAAATATTAAGGAACCTACAGTACTGATTTTACATATACATATTTATATATTAAAGTTCTTGGTTTCATATATGCACTCACTTGACCATGCATACATTATAAGGGTGCTGCTTGGGCCAATTCATACAACATTCAAGATCCATGGGTTACATTGACGTTGTGGCAGGCTTATGCAATGTATGATCATACACTGTAACTAAACCACCATTATTTTTGCTTTGGTTAGGTGTGTTTAACAAAACTAAGCTCTGAAATTGCAGTTTAGTGAATGAGTGAGTGCACTGGATCTTGTATATTGTATACACACACGGAATGGCTCTTTTGCTGGTTTCGTTTTTAAATGATTTTGCTCCCTGCTCTGCAATGCACTTCAACTAGGAAGTGGTTGTGATATCTTAGTTGATTCATAGTCTTTCTGAAACACCTATGACGCACTACACAATCATGAGAACAACACTCCATGTGAATGAGTGAGTGATGCTTATAGTGCAGCCACATGCAGATTCTGTCAATTTATACTATACAATTCTGCACTTTCATTTAGTGGCATTTGCTCAAATCACACATTTTTTTCCATGCAGAAGAAATGAATGTGGATTGGGAATGCTTGACTGAGAGGTAGCAGCATTTACCTGATCAGACTGTTTATCATCATTAGTTTCCTGCGTGTGATCAGAGTGTTCATCACTGCTTCTTTCCACGGTGTGTGGAGTTGTGTTGGCTGAGGACTCTATTGCTACTCGAGTCAGCATTACAATGGGGTGCGCTCTTGCAAAACACTGTTTCTTCTCTGGGATGTCTTCCTCTTGACACTCTAAATGCCGACTTCGTTTTTGCCTATAATTCTGTTTTTTAAGAGGTGATAATGCACTGCTTTCACGGTTTGAGTCCTGGGATGCATGCTCAGAGATTTTTCTGTCAACTGGCGTAGTTTCCTATGAACACAGTAACATTTAAATAAATAAAACTACTCTTAATTCTGCATGAGATTGTATTATTACCATCACATATTAAGAATATAGCATGTATAATTTTCAACTGGCAAACTGCACGTGATTGATTGCTTTACAGAGACATTTCTGGAAATAATTTATTTTTCTTTATAATTCAACATAGTAAAACAGTACATTTGGCACTCTAAATCGTGTCTCCGTTCCAAATTTTGTCAAATTTCAGAGCAACTTAAAATCACTTATGTCACCATTAAATGCTATAAGCACAACCTTGTATATATGCGGTTAGCCTCAATTTACAGTTTTGTAAATCAGCCTGTGTGTAGTATTCGTTTGATGAGATTGTAGATGCCTCTGGTATGGGCTCTCTCCAGTGGAAGGGAGATACACATACTTGGTGTACATGCTGTGTCTTTGCTATTTTTTTTTGCAGATATTTATATTCTTTATAGTGCCATGTTGTGCATTATACAATAGCCTTCCAGCTGAAGTGGTAGAGCTTAACATAGTGAATGAGTTTAAGCATGTGTGGGATAGGCATAAGGCTATTCTAGTTATAAGATAAGGCTAGGGACTAATGAAAGTATTTAGAAAATTGGGCAGACTAGATGGGCAGAATGGTTCTTATCTGCCGTCATATTCTATGTGTTTCTATGTTATATGGTGAAAAACACTTAAAAATCGCATGAAAACTAGCATCAGGTGAAGGTCTTCCACATCCCGTCCAACGTCACTAACCTTCTCCTTGGTCCAATCAAATGCTTTGTCTCAGTGAAGTGGTCTGGGTGCCATGTCTTCCGTGTTTTAACCCTACAGTGTAATAGAGGTGCTTCCTCCAAAATGGCAGAGTAAAATTCTGCCATCTTTTTTTTCCTTCTTCTTATTTGAGACTTTATTGAAGGTTTGCATATTAAATACAAAAGTAAGCAACAAATGCATATGAGATCAACAAAGTGCCGACAACGCAAACCTCCGCCAGCACCTGCTGGACGTCTGGCGCTTAACCACCTCCATGCCTCTGACACCCCAGGTAACGGAAGTTCTTGAGGAATGTTCCTGGCACCCAGAGGATCGGATGAGCGGAGGCACAAGACCGGAGCCTGCCAGGCATACTCCACCATAGCTGGACTTCCTCACCATGCCTCCTAAAATAAGAACTGCTCTATGCACACTAGACATTCTTTTAATTTTTGCTGAGTTTATGCCTTTAATTCTTATATGTGTTTATCGTAACAGCCTATTCAATAAATTACCAGCTAGACCAAACTAATGGGGCAACCCAAGCCTGCTTAAAACCTACATTATGCTTAAACTGGCATGTTTCCTTTTTTTCTCTTCAGCACATAGTAACCCCCTGTATGCTAACGGGTGGCTCTTTAATTGCTTTTAGACATAGGTACTAAATGCCTTCTAACTAATAGCCTAAAGTAAATATGTGGGCTGACCTGGCAACCAATCTCATAAAGCGACATAAATAGACATGACATGTAACCTCACAGACTAACTGCAATAGCGATAGCTCAGGTCTTGTACTGCATCTCTTGGATGGGTACAGACGAATAACACATATTTTGCAATCACAGCAATGTTATGCTTAATGTACCTACTATACGCATGTCCTACTATTACTCATGTTTTATCACTACTTATTCTTACTTTAAATATAAAATGTGCACGTGTCTCTATATACACCCCACTGTAACAAATGGCATTGATATAAGCGAGTGGAATGCCTTTGGGGTACCACGAGCATGTCTGCTAAGCCTATATGCACGGAAAAAATAAAGAATAAAAAAATAAAAATTAGATCAACAAAGTGGTTTACAAGTGCATGAAACCAACCAAAGGATTAATTTGAACCATATGCAGAAATGCACAAAACGTTGTTTGAAACACAAATGTGGGTAACATAAAGAAGATGGGGAGAAAGGGGTGCAGTAGCAGTAATCCTGTGTTGTAATAAAAGATTCTGCCATTTCAATCAGGTGGTCTCAGAGAGACCATCTGATTGGTCAGCGCAGCATTTTTCTGCACATGCATAATAGCATCCCAATGGAAAAGCATTGGATTGGCTAAGATCATCGAAGTTGATGACCTCTGCCAAGGAGGTATAATGGCAGTGTGGAGACTGCGAGGGAAAAAAAATATTTCAGCAATATTCCCTTTTTCTTGCTAAGGTTAAGGGGCCAATAACCTAAACGACCACCAGGGCACAATAGCGTTAGGCATACACATTTGTATTCCTAACGCTATTAGTTTTCCATTAAGCATATAGGACGTCATTGCAGACATAAATTAAACCACGGAGAGAAGAGAGATGAACGTTTCCTCTAACAACACTGCCTGCAAGGTAGAAGTTAATAATGTCTGTTGCCAGCTTGCAGTGTGTGTTGACGACGGACATATTTTTCGCACAGAATTGACAGAGTTCCGGGCTGCCAAAGTAATGTGTGCTGGACATGCATCTACCCGGGCCCTGACACACAAGTGCAATTATCTCTGCATTTGCAGCCTTTCAAACTCTGTTCATAAAGACTCCAACCACCATGATCACTTCCAAATGCAGAAGTGGTCATGTTGGTTAGAATAGCTCTTTAATGGTTATAGGATGAGACTTAAAGCTGCAGCAATTTCTGTAAATTAATTTGACAATGAGAAGAGGGTACTGTCTGCTCATACCCTGTGCAGTGATGATAGCCAAATGTGACACTTTAAAGCGGAGTATTAAAGTGAAGAATAGGTGACAGGCGTTAGACCAGATACAATAACCACTATTACTAAACCTACCCCAGACATCCCAGACTCTAATCCCTGCACCCCAGACATCCCAGACTCTAATCCCTGCACCCCAGACATCCCAGACTCTAATCCCTGCACCCCAGACATCCCTGACTCTAATCCCTGCACCCCAGACATCCCTGACTCTAATCCCTGCACCCCAGACATCCCTGACTCTAATCCCTGCACCCCAGACATCCCTGACTCTAATCCCTGCACCCCAGACATCCCTGACTCTAATCCCTGCACCCCAGACATCCCTGACTCTAATCCCTGCACCCCAGACATCCCTGACTCTAATCCCTGCACCCCAGACATCCCTGACTCTAATCCCTGCACCCCAGACATCCCTGACTCTAATCCCTGCACCCCAGACATCCCTGACTCTAATCCCTGCACCCCAGACATCCCTGACTCTAATCCCTGCACCCCAGACATCCCTGACTCTAATCCCTGCACCCCAGACATCCCTGACATTTATGACAATGTCTCCGCTAATAAACACGCTGTGACACTATGCCTGTCAATACATAACACTGATACACCGCTTTGCCCTGATGTACGTACACAGTCTGTCCGTAGAGAGGGCAATGCAAAGCCCTGGGAGTTATATCCCCACAGTCTCCTTTACCTGCTGCTCCTGTAAGGTCTTCTTTCTCCTACCCATCCTGCCCTGCGGTGGGGTACAGCTGGCACTCATGCTGTATGTGACAAGTGACAGTATTCCAAACTCTCAGCACAAACCTTTTTCGCGCCACACTGCTTGCATAACAGCGCTAGTTCGGGCGGATGTAACGTCAGAAGCCTGCCTGGGCAGGAAGAGTATTGGCGGAAGAGAGTGTTTGGTAACAGTGCAAGAAGAGAGGGAATGGTTACAGCTCAGGAATAACTAACCAGCACAGACACTGACAGAACTAGTACTTGCAAGCTTGTTTACAGCAGGCATAGGCAACCTTAGGCGCTCCAGATGTTTTGGACTACACCTCCCATGGTGCTTTGCCAGCATATGGGTGTAAGAGCATGATGGGAGATGTAGTCCAAAACATCTTGAGTGTCACAGGTTGCCTTTCTCTGGTCTACAGCATATTAATTATACATACAGCTGTTATCATGTGTTCCCAATCAGTAAATATAAATTATATGTGACCAGTGGTGGATCTGGTAATCATATCAGGGTTATTTACTAATCTATGAATTGTTGGAACTTCCTTAACCCCTTTAAGGACCAAACTTCAGGAATAAAAGGGAATCATGACATGTCACACATGTCATGTGTCCTTAGGGGGTTAAAGAGTATCATTATGTAAAGAGGTTCAGGTCACATGTTCACTTCCATAGGGTAACTTGTAATTTGAACATTTCTTATTTTTATTAGATATTTAGGGCTCGAACTTGAGCCCTGGCGAGTAGAAATTTACCACTGGATTGAATACTATGGCTTACAGTGGCTAGTAACTTTTAAGGCCTGGCTAGTAGTATAGAACTACAAATTTCCAGCCTTGATAGATTAATAAAGGAATATATTTCTTCTTGGTATATAATAAGCAAAATATAGCTTGCACTACAGTATTTACCAGCTTGTGTGTACATACCTGCCCCATATATTATAACATTACTACTATTAGTGTATGTATACCGGCCAAATTTACTGTCAGTGTGTTATTGTCAGCCTCATATGACATAGCATAATTTTCATTGCAGTGTCCTCCACCAACATTGGCACACTTGGTAAATGTGAGCAAAAAAAAGCTGTAAAAAAATGTCTTTATTGTTTAGCCTTTTGTTCAAAAAATACACAAAATACTCTGTTTTCGTGGATATAAAACAATTGCAAAAACAACACAGGTTTAAAAAAAAAAAAAAAAAAAACTGTAAAATATTTGTGTCACAATTAATGGCACACATATGAATTCAAATGAGAATAAATACTTGAATTATATTCCCATTGATATAATTTTTTAGTACACATGGGTGACCAGGAACTGGAAATTGTTCAACCATAACTTCCTGTTTCACATGGGTTTTACCCCTTAAAGGACCACTATAGTGCCAGGAAAACATACTCGTTTTCCTGGCACTATAGTGCCCTGAGGGTGCCCCCACCCTCAGGGTCCCACTCCCGCCCGGCTCTGGAAGGGGGAAAAGGGGTTAAACTTACCTTTTTCCAGCGCTGGGCGGGGAGCTCTCCTCCTCCGATCCACCTCCGATCCGCCCCGTCGACTGAATGCGCACGCGCGGCAAGAGCTGCGCGCGCATTCAGCCAGTCGCATAGGAAAGCATTATCAATCACAGTGAGAAGCACGCAAGCGCCTCTAGCGGCTGTCAATGAGACAGCCACTAGAGGCTTTGGGGGAAGGCTTAACCCATTCATAAACATAGCAGTTTCTCTGAAACTGCTATGTTTATAAAAGAATGGGTTAACCCTAGCTGGACCTGGCACCCAGACCACTTCATTAAGCTGAAGTGGTCTGGGTGCCTAGAGTGGTCCTTTAAGGACACATGACGGAAATATTCTGTCATGATTCCCTTTTATTCCAGAAGTTGTGTCCTTAAGGGGTTAAATACCCAAAGGCCAAATTGCCTTAGTCATTCATCACAATGGGCAAGACCAAGGAATATAGCTATGATGTGCGGGAAAAGGTTGTTGAGCTTCACAAAAAAGCAAGAGCATTGAAAATGCGTTTTTCCACCATTATGGAAAACATTAAGAAGTATAAATACTTTCCTAGTGGTTAAAAATAACATAATCATAAATAACTGCCAATTGCAGGGCAAATACTTATAAAACTATACATTTTATTTATCTCATTATAAAAGTCAATTGTTATATATATATATATATATATATATATATATACACATTTATATTAAGTGTTCAAGTAGAGATTGTAGTCGTATTAGTCCAGTGATGTAGATGTAAAAAACAGATAAAATTCATATAAAAAAGGTAGCACAAGATTCAAATTTTATCTGTTTTTTTTTTTTATATACATATACATATATATAATAGAAAATTGAATTCATACCTACAAATATTTTCTTTCCCTGGATATAGGCCATGGCAGCACTACAGATGGGTATAGCTCCTCCCACTCCTAAATTGAACAGGAACACCTCCTAATTAAACAAATAAAAGAGAGATCCCTCCTCTTTGTCCCAAGCCACAAACAAAAAAGTAGGACGGGATCATAGTGTTGCCATGGCCTATATCCAGGAAAAGAAAATATTGGTAAGTATGAATTACATTTTCTATTTTCCCAGATATATCCACTACAGATGGGTAATACCCAAGCTAAAGACATATGGGAAAAATTGAAAACCAGCCAACATTTGGAATGCAAAAGAAAATTTTATTACAAAGCTGAATAAAGAACACTTCTGCCAAAGGCAGAACTAGAAGTTCTGGCAACATCCAACCGGTAGTGATGAATAAATGTATTAAAGGACATCCAGGTTGCTTCCGAACAAATGCAGTCAGGGAAAACATTGGCTGCAGCTGCCAAAGAGAAGGCTAGAGCTCTAGTGGAGTGAGCCCGAAGACCCAATGGGATAGGAACTCCAGACGCCTGGTAAGTCTGGGGGATGGCTGATATGATCCAACGCCCAATGGAAGAGGTGGAAGCCGCTTGTCCCAACTTGTGTCCTGATGGAATAACAAAAAGTCTGGAGGATTTTCTGATATCTTCCCCCAAAGGGTCGAAGAACCGCAAATAGAACCTTGTTACCTTGTTGTTCAGGTCAGTTGCCATGAGGTCTACTTGAGGGAGTCCCCAATGTTGAATGATGCTCTGGAAAACCTTTGAAGAGAGGGACCATTCTGTTGGATTCAGGGTTACTCTGCTGAGGAAGTCTGCAATTTGATTCATTTTCCCCTTGTAAATAAACCGCCTTCAAGCCTTCCAGGTTCCTTTCTGCCCAAGCCATCAGAGGAGAAAGAATCCTCATCAACTGTTTGCTTCTTGTTCCCCCTGATGATTGAGATAAGCCACTACCGAAGTATTGTCTACCCCGACCTTGACCCATTGGAGATTCAGAGAGGGGAATCGGAGAAAGGCTTGGAACACTGCTTTCATTTCCAGGACAAAGTTGTCGCCAGCAGAGCGTAACTATGATATTGGTAACAGTCAGTGTGATGGACCGCCTGGCACACCGACCGGGTACCTCCGTCAATCACTGCTTCCTAGTACTTGCGAGCACCATAAGAACCGTACTGGAGCACCATGACCACCGCAAACCCCACAAATCGCTGCAGCTTGGTTGGGGTCTCGCTGTCCTCCACCCACCCTGGCCCCTAGACCAGGATTCAGCTTCCAGTAGGTAGACCTCTCCTAGTCCAGAGAGCGAAGCAGGCTGCTCTTACAAGAGCAATCGTGATCCAAGGGACTATAGTGATTATAGCAATCCCCAGAGTGAATATAGCTCTCCAATCTCCGAAACATGAGCCTAGACTTCATGAAGGATAAAAATAATCTCTTTAATGGCAGACACAACTGGCCTTATATGCAGGTCCCCATGCAAGGGGCACTCCCCCTGGACCTGAGAGTAGACTGCAGTAAAAACATATACACAATTACATTGGCTGTCAGGTCCAGGACCTCCCATACAAAATAGGTCAATCCCTCCCCTATGCCTGGGAGATTGAGTCAAGCACTGTATTAAACGCAATTATCTCCAGGAACAAAAAACACACATTTTTACAAAACTTTAAAAATACATTAAAACACACAAAATCCCCACAAGTTACATCCCCTGATAGCCCTGATCTTGGTGACCAAGATATCCAAAAAATCACCCAGATCAGTTCAGGGGTTCAGGAATTTCCTGGAAGTCATAATTTGACCTACCGCCCACCCAAAACAGTTCCAGAGAATCATTGCTTGCAGTCAGTCTAGTACAGAAGTTTAAAAAAAAAAAACGAACAAACTACCGAACAGAGCCTGTTCACAAAAACGTGGCATACATTGGTGATGCTAAAAGGCTGTCTTCTAGACAAGTTAGATGGTCATTGTTCTTGTCACGGTTTAACTTTATTATCACGTACAGACCAGGTCCTAAGATCGTTAAGGCTGACGCCCCATCTAGGCAATTTGACATAGAGGCAGCACAAGAACAAGAGACCTCTCCCATTATACCACCTGAATGTATCATTGCCTCCATGGTTCTTTCCTTGTCTTCTCCTCTCCTTTGTGCTATAATGGCAGCCCAGACTCAAGCACCTAGTGATAAACCTCAAGATAGGTTGTTTATTCCGTTACTGGAAAGAGAGGAGGTGTTTCACGATAATGTGACAGATGGACATCAAGGCATTAATAAAATGGTGTCCGCTGTCTCTAGATCATTTTGGTGGCCATCTCTTAGAAAGGACATCAGAGAGTATGTGGAGGCATGTACTATTTGTGCGGTTTCTAAGGCTCCCCATAAACTACCTGTTGGGTTATTGCAACCACTTCCTATACCCAGTGTCCCATTGTCTCACTTGTCTATGGACTTTATTGTGGAACTCCAAAGTTCTAAAGGCTATAACACCATCCTAATGATTGTTGACCGCTTTTCTAAAATGGCACACTTTGTTCCGCTCAAAAAGATACCTTCTTCCCAAGAGCTGGTTCATATATTTATACGCAAAATAGTCATTTAACATGGTATTCAGCTAAATATTGTGTCAGACAGGGGGTTCCCAATTTGTGTCACGATTTTGGAGAGCATTTTCTAAACAGTTGGGTATAGAATTATCATTTTCATCTTCATACCATCCTCAAACCAATGGTGCGGCTGAGCTAGCTAATCAATC